TTTTATTACGTCGATGATTTAACATAGAAAACACAAATATATGCAAAAAAAATATAATTAATATTAAAGTTATCGATCGCGTACGCGAACGTATTCATTTTCTATGTACGTCATTAATTGTTTTGTTCTTTTTTTTTATTACTCTTCTTTTTTTTTTTTTTTTTAACCATTACCATTTCATGACATATATAAATAAAACAGAAACGTGAGATAACATACAAGAAACCATTTTACAAAAGCATTTGTAAACGTCAATAAATTTTAACAATATCTCATCCTTCATATGAAAAAGATTACATACGCACACTCACACGTTATCATACATATGTCATTCTTTATGAACATACACGATATCTAAGTATTCCCACGTTGCAAATGTATTTGCAATTTACTGTAATAATACGAGCATATATTTCTTCATCCTGTTTTATAATAATTACTAAATTGATTTTTCATGTGTATGCATATGTATAATATGTTTTCTAAGAACATTAATATTAAATTATTTAAATTGAAGAAAACTCAGTAAAAAGACCGGTAATTAAAAAAAGACGAGAAAAACGCATATGCATGTTGGCATTGGAAAATGATTTCTTACGAATTTATTATTTCTTTGGATATCTCATATTTGTCAAAGTATTAAAATAAGAGTTACTTCAAAATTATTAAAATTAAAAATGATGACGATAAATAAATTGTTCATATATGGACATTAAAATAATTTTAAATTAACGATAATAATAACGTTCCAACACAACTATAATAAATCTATTAAAATAACTTAAGCAAATTAATATGTATAATAAACTATAATGTATAACTCTTATGTTGCTAATAATCCCCGATGATTGATGCGACATTGAATAAAGCTATAAAAAAAAATAATAATAATAATAATAATAACGTTTCAATATTTTTGAAGATATTGATTGGAAGATAATTCAAATTTCATTTTTGTTATCTATTTAAAAATAAAACATTTGTGCATTGATACGTGTAAATAATAATCACGAGCCAAATTGAAGAGTTTCACGCATCTAGTGTATGATATATTATATTATTCTCCTTCAAAAATTGATGATTCAGTCGAGTAATCGCTAAAAAAATATTCATTTATCATAGCTTGAGAATATAAGTATAAAAGAGAGAGAGAGAGAGAGGGCCTGTATTTATTCGAATGATTCAACCATCGTTCGAAATAAACGCCTATTATACACAAAGTTCGTGATCTTCTAATTCTAACGAATTGTCTGTCTGACATATCGGACTACGTATACACATACATATTTACTAATGCTAACTAGACCTCCATGACTTTCAAATGTTAATCTATACGAAAAATTTGAAAACAAATATTAGAAAAAAAACATTCATGCAAATTTTACAAACAATATTCAATATAATATATATTCTAAGGAAACTTACAAAAATTCTACAGTAATAATAATAATAATAATAATAAAATTAGAGGTAAAAAAATGGGAAAATTTTCCGCCGAAAAAAAATACAGATATTAATAACAACTGTAATAACAATATTAGAAATTGAAAAAAACTGTGAAATAATAACATTACACCGATAATATATAATCATAACAATAATAACAAAAATAACAAATATAGAATATAAACAAAACAAAAAATATGTATTTAAAAATTCACGTATTATCAATGGATGAACGTCCTTGCATAAAGTAAATACTTTAAACAAGTAAAGATCTATCGATCCTCGATAAATACTCGAAGACTATTTTCATTGCTGACATAATTTTTTAACTAACGTTCTTATCAAATCTGTATGATATTATTAAAGATTATAAGAATGATAAGAGATAATCTCGATTGTTTAATCTTTCTCTCTCTCACTCTCTCTCTCTCTCTCTCTCTCTCTCTCTCTCTCTCTCTCTTTCTCTTTCTCTTTCTCTTTCTTTTTAATGCTAAACTCTTTTTACGTGTTTATTATAACACGTATCAAAAAGAAGAGCATATAACTGAACAACAAAGAACTTTAACAACGAACCTGTTATGTTCGGTTTGTAACGAGGTCAAACGACGATCAAATGGTAATCACAGAGACGCATCCTACAAGCTCTCCATAGTTAACTTGCGTAATGTTTAACATTGTTTTCATAGTTAGTGTTCGGACTGTTGATCATTGAAACTTATTACTTTGAGATACTGGTGAACGTGTGCGGCTAATTAAGAACAACTTCTTTGAGTCTCTTTCTATTTCTCTTTCTGTCTTTTTCCTCGATTTTTTTCTGTATTTTTTTTTTCTACTTTATGCAGGTAACAAGGACACAATCAATAAAACACGATGTGTATACGTTAAAACGTGATATTTTCTTGCATACCTATGATAGGTTGAGCTTTTTTTTCTTAGATCGTTCCGAAGGTTGCAAAATAAGTCGATGCGAGATTGCTAATGGATAGAACGTGTCCAAGACGTGATCAATTCTCTAGTATCTACTATTTTTTCTTTAGATACTGATTCATAATCACACTCTCCAAAAATTTCATCTTCAAAATTTATTATGTTGACGTTGAAATTGATATGTTTGTATATAAGTATTTATTTTATATAAATCTAACAGTATGAAGTGAAGATCAAATGTTGGATGATGGTGATTTACCCTATTTTTTAAGCTAATTTCTTTTATCAAATTTTTATATTACGAAATAAAGACATTTCGAAGATGATCAATTAATTTGTTAAATATTCCTTAAAACATTGGGACTATACAACTTGTATAATTATGTACATAATTGAATATCTTCATATAATATAATTTATATTAATTATATATTTATATTATTATATTATACATTAATTATTTTAATAAATAAAAATATATATAATGTTTTAATAAAATAAATATATTTTTCTTAATAAATAATATAATTGTTTGTTTATAATTACTTGATGTAAAAATGTTTTTGATAGAGAACATATTTATCTCGTTTTTTCTTGTTACTTTCAAATAAATCAATACATAATTGCAATCGATAAGAGAATCGCTTATAAAGAAAAATTGACTTTGTGAATTCAAAACAAACGATAAATCAAAAGAGACATCATTGATAATTTTCATATTTAACGATGGAAATATATGATTATATAAAAAGATAAAGAGATAGATTGATATTAGAATAGAGTTAAACACTATCGTGTTCAAAAACAATTTAGATTGCTAAAAAAAACTGCACCAACCTAAGAGTAGACAATTATTTTATCATGTTTACTACGTGCTTGCGATTAACAATCGATCATTTTGACATATATTATTGTTGTTGTTATATTTTAAAATATTTATTGAATTCGTTAACAATGACCGCATTTTCGTACGTATAAATAAAAATTGTATAGAAAGGAATGTATCGATTATACATAATCGAAACAATTTACAATTGAAATATCTTCATTGTCTGCCTAGGAATAGTGGATGTTTTTTTATTCTTTTTTCCTTTTTTTTACAATTATAATCGTTCGATATGATTCATCGGTATATACATTTTCCATTTCTATTTTACTTTCCATTCCTTTTGGAAAGGAGAAAATTGAAGCAATGCAAAACAAATGAATTTAAAAAACAAATCATCTTCCATATTCTCGTAAGCAACGAAAACAGTTTATAAAGCAAGAAAAAAAAATATGTCATTTCAATTTAACTCACAATCGGAATTAAATTTAAAACCACAAGTGTGTCAGATAAACGAAAGAAAGAAAAAAAAAGTAACTGTTTATTGACCAACAACTAATTTATGTGCGTATATATTATAATAATAAATAAATAAAAAGAATCCTGTGTGATGATTCATCAATATTTTTCTTTTTCTTTTTTTTTTTTCTTCAATTAAAAAAATAACGACAACTCTCAATTGGTTTAAAACGTATCAAATTTAATTGTTTGTAATTCTAAGGAAGGACGTGAATGATTTATTTGATCTCTTCTTTGCGATAAACACGATAACAGTACGAGTTAAATGAAGTATTTTTTGCATGTTTTGTATTTTTTTTTTTTTTTTGAATAAATAACTTTTTTTTACGTCCCTGTAGAACAAAATTCTGACTGTTAAATTCTTCCAATCAATTGAACAAAACAATTCAATTTATTGCGACGCATCGTTCATGCAAAAAATTGACCTAATTCAAACTCCATCGAGAAATGCATTAACAAAAGACAAATAAATCAATTTAAGAAAAAAAAAAAAAAGAAAGAGAAAGAAATTAATTTATATGACAATAACCGATATTACAAAATAAATCATAAGATCGATTTTTGTCCATTATTTTGGCTTGCAATTAGAATAATACAATTGTCGTAACAACCGACACCTATACGGGCATTCGTATGTATTGATCGGTGACATCATAGAGAGAATACCAGCTGCACTTGAAAGTAGTGATTCTGTATAGTAGCAGAACCAGAATGAAATGAAAAATACAAAAAACAAGACAATAAAGAGAGAAAGAGAGACAGAAAGAGAGAGAAGAAAATACATAATACGTACACCATAATAATTAAAGTACATATATAATTTTATAAGTAAATACATTTATCTTTTTATTTAAATGCCACCTGTGCACAATTACACATATCTCTCTTTGTCTCTCTCTATGTTTTTGTCTCTTTCTTTCTAAAATTCTCATTAAAGATCGACATTGTAAAAGACAAAAACAACGACGAAGAGACGAAGACGAGTAAGAAAAAGAGTGAGAGAGAAAGAGTGAAGAGGTTGATATAAGTGGGAGAAAGACACGCATGGAAAAACAAACGTGCATGCGTTTCGTGAGTGTCTCTCACGCCTACCAATCGTAGCTTGCCTCGTACATACACACACACACACACACACACATACATACATTCCCTACGGACCCTTGTATTTACGATATTTCTCTCCCCTCTCTCTCTCTATATATATTCTACCCCCTCTAGCCCCCCATTCTTCCACCTTGCTATAAAGGCTAACGCTTCACGACGCTTCGAGTTAGTCCGTTTACACGTTCAAACGATTAACACGTGTAAAAGAAGATACAAAGATTCTTTTTGTTTTTCTCTTTATTATCTTCTAACAAAATATATCTTGAAATCTTTGACAAAGTTTATTGAGATACCAAATCATTGAGTTTTTTTTTTATTTTATTATCGATAGAGATAATTAGAAGGAGTTGTTGTTGAGACTTGCAATTATTGTTTTTTTTTCTTTTTGATAATTTTCGAAAATTGCATTAACAACACGATTTAAAGATGCCTGTGGAGTTGGAGCAAGTGCCTTCTGTAGCACATAAGGCCTTTAATGGGTACGCGTTGTTTAATATTATTAATATTATTATTATTATTTTTATTATTTGTAATGTTGCATCATTTCGTTTCTATAGTATATTGTTTTATATCTATGTCAATTTGTTTGAATTTTATTTCAATAAACCAAGTGCAAAATATACATATATATATACGTGTATTATGATGTGTATATATGATGTGTAGCTAATATGAATCACGGTGCAACATACCACGATGATTTATCAAATTTATCATGAGAAATATTAGAGTATTAAAACTCCAATTGGAGTATTTGAAAAGAAAGAGATACCGATTGTATACGTAAAATAAAACGGATCTAGAAAGCTAGTTTCACTTTCTAATTTCTAACTACTTAAAAGTCTATACACGATTATGTAACGGATATTTATACTTAAATGATTAAGCTAATAAAAACAAAAAGAGAAAAAAGATTCATACATGAGTATTAACGTTTGAAATTATAAATTTATTTCGTTTATTTTTTGGTTTGCAGAGAAGATAAAATGAACAAGCTGTGTAGACAACTATCGATTGAAAGTCCGAGCATAATAGGACGCGATTGTGTATTCAGTTTCGACGTACCGGTTCCAGAAGTACCTGCACAAGGTGCCCGGATCCGTGTAGTATGTGCTGGAGCATGTTATCATCCGAAACGTTCACCGAGTCTATCGTCTTTAACATCTGTTTCAAGTAGCAGTAGTTTGGCTACTGAAGCATCCTTAGAAGGTGATTGCCCAGCTAACATTCCTCACCATGGTGTAAGAGATGCTGCATTATTTCCTGGATTCGAAGTAGCTGGTGTCATTGAATCACTTGGTTCTGACGTCAGCGAAGATTGCGAATATGCATTGGGTGATCGAGTTATTCTTTATCCTTACGAAGGAATACCTAATGGATACGTCGAATATTTGGTTGTACATGATCTGAAATATCTCATTAAGATACCCGATAATATGCCATTGAGCGTAGCTGCTATGTTACCAGCTGGTGCATTACTTGCCATGAACACTGTATTCGCTGCCCATGAACATGTGCAAAATCTTTTGAAAGAAAGAGACGAGAAAACCGTTTGCAAGATTCTAATCGTTGGAACTGGTGGATTAGCACTTTGGGCATTAAGAATTGCGGCATATCACTTCAGTAATATGAAGGATAGAGTAACTATCACTATCGCTACTCTTAAAGATGATGGTCTTATCATGGCACAGGAATTTCAACGGTAAGTCTCATAAACTTTTATTTTCTTTAGCTTTTTTATTTTATTTTATTTTTTTTTATTTTTTTTTTATTTTATTTTATCCTTGTGATGTGTGTCAATGTTGTTTGCCATTTTTAAAAGCAAAAAAAAATAACTTCTCATATAAATGTTATTATTTCAATCGATGTTTTTATTTGATAACAAGGTAATTATTTTGTTCTATTAAAAATTTCAATGCTTGAATTTTAATTTGTCAATCACGCGTCGCGATCGACTTCTTATTTATCTTTTTAAAAATTCTACAAAGTTAATCTATCTCTCTGTTTTCTCCTTTGACAGCACATATCTTTATTTTTCTTCACATATAACTTTAGCATGAGAGATAAGATTCGTTCGGAGTATAAACAAGCCTGATTGTGTATCAATTTTCAATGAAAATCATCATTATTATCGTAAACACCTGTTAATTGTATTTTTTAACGATTCGTTAGAGACATATTCATATGCACACATGTGTATAGCTTTGATTATTTAGGTAATAAGAATCATACTTGATAATTATAAATCAAAATATGTATTTTATTATTATTATTGTTATAATATTTAATAATGTCATGAAATCAAATTTAAAATAAAAAAAATATAATAAAACATTCCGAGAGTGTGGTAATCAATAGATTCATAGTTCATTCGATTTATTCACAAATAGTTTGCACATTGCTTACAGAGTAAACGTTGTACAATGGAACGAGGATTTGTACGAGAAACAGCTGATCGAAAGGACGATGGATGCTTGTCAAGGTCAAGTTGATGTAGTGATTGACTTTGGAACGACATCTCGTAGTCTTCATCGTAGTATCCAATGTTTGAGCAAAGGTGGAGTCGTATTCGTGATAAAGGAAGTTGCTGATCGTCTTTTGCCAAAGTTTAGCAGACGTGCCGAAGAAAAACAACAAAGTATTAAATCAGTGGAGCCAGGTACTTTGGAACAACTTCGTGAATTGGTTCAATTGGTTGCATCAAACGAAATTGAACCACCACCACACACAGTATATCCTGCTGAGGAAGCACTCGATGTTGTACACAAACTCTGCCATTCCATGATTCAAGGTCGTGCGATTCTACGTTTCTATCCATCTGATTAAAAAATAGACTAAGAGAGAAAGAGAGAAACAAAAAGAGAGAGAGATATATAGAGAGAAAAAGATTATTTCAAATATCTGTGTATTCTGTCTCTCTGTCTTATTTTCAATCTTAAGCCATTCAGAAGCCAATACGATTAACTTCACTTTTACTATTTTATTAAAATACTATTTTATAAAAAATAATTTGACGTTCGACGTTTGTCCAATACAATTGTTTGTGACATGATTTTTAATTTTAATATCAAAGCACTAAAATTAGACTTTGATACCAAAATAATGTACCTTAATATTCCCTAGTAGCACAAAATATTGAATACATGTGTATTTGATATTAAAAAGACATTGAATCTCTTTTTAAAATTAAATACACATGTATTCAATATTTTGTGATACAAGGGATTATTTAAAATAACGCAGTAATATTATTTTTACACAAAAATGATAAATGATGTATATAATTTGTATTTATTTTCTTCACTCTTTTCTTTCGTGGAATTAATCTGATTTGGTTAAACGAGTGGCTCAATTAACGTATCTAAGAAACTCTCCCCCTTTTCATAGATAAAATCATTAAATAAACTTGAAGATTATTTTGAGTTTAAAATACTATTGTGTGGTATATCTGTCTGACTCTCTCTCTCTTTCTATGATCTCGCTCAAAGATTGTCTAATCGAAAGATAAGGGAAAAATTATTGAAGAAACAATTCGATTTAATTATTTATATGATTCATTCTCATAGGATTCGATTAGAATTTATTTTTACAGACCCTCAGAGAATTTCTAGGTACAATTTTTTTGTGAATGGATGTGATATGTATGTGTGAATTCAACGTTTGGGTGACTTTATTCGGAGTGTGTGTACGAATGATAAAGAATGAACTATATTTGTGTGTGTGTGAGTGGATGTTTGTGCGTAACTCTCAACAAATTCTCATAGTCTCGTATACTTTCAATTTATTTTTTATCGAACATCATTTTATTCTAACAAAATCGTTGACAACAAAATAATTTATCATTTTCGCTTGATTAAAAATATCTCTAATGAATTTAAATATCAAAAATATGAAGAAAAAAACCAGGACAATATAGACAGCTCTTGTGCTTTTTATTTTGATTTCCAAGAGATACAAAAATTATTTGGACGATCGTGTATGTTGAATCTAATAATTTCATTCGAATGATTTACGTTGTAAACATATACACGTATATATACACATATAAAGGGTGGGTGGAAAGTTCTTAAATAATTTAAAAATTATATAAAAAACTCTCTTTTTCGAAACTTCTTCAATTTGTAGTTTTAGCTTAATAATATTTAAAAGCTATGCTTGTAGTTTTACGATCTGGATGATAAATTATTTGAAGAAGTTTCGAACTAGAGTAATTGATATAAAAGATATAAGATATAAGAACTTTTGACTCAATCTTTATACATACGATATTTCATTAATGAAAAACAATAATAGAGATGAGAATGTTGAAAAAATAATGCATAAAAAGAAAAGAAAGAAAAATGGGCATAATGTAAAATTTATAACTATAACGATAATATATTTATAATAATGTTAGACAAAGGTACACGAGAAACAAAGAAGAAACAATTGAAACAAACAAAAAAGTGATAAATCGACAAAAATCGAGTGTTAGATAATAAGAAAGGATGAATGATCGAATACAAAGTGTTACAAATTAGTTTAAACTCATTTTCATCGTCAATTTCGACACTCACCAATTTAGCGACATTCAATGTGTGAGTTCATGGTTTATCCATAGATCAGTATTTTTTGCGTCCTAGAAGATAGGTATTATAAATTTAGATATAAGTTTTGTCGATAAAACACGTTATATACTAAACTAATAACTATACGTACTTTAATAACGATGACGGCAAATTGTTATTTAATTAATAACGAAATGCATCACAGTTAAAATTTGCTCTATCTGAAAAGACTGTTTCGTTTATTTAAACGGTATATATGTATGTATGTATATAAATATATGTATGCATATGTATTTATAATATTTATATGTATATATGTGTATATGTATTTATATACCTTATTTTATATCGTAGTCTCTAGATAATAAGCATTAGGTACCCGTAGGTACACGAAACGTCATTGTACCGACTGTTATAATCGTGACAGTATAAATGTATTATATTACATGACGATAATATATAGTAAAATATAATATGTTTTTATTAAAAAATCATCTTATTATATTGTTGCTCTTATTAAATATTCTTCACATACGTGAGGGTGGGTTGAACAATTTTGAGTCTAACATAAAAACAATAATTTTTTGGCCGAACTCACTTTTATATAAAATAAAAATAAAGCTTTTTCTTTGGTTGAGCTACAATATATTTTAATCCACCCTCGTATATCTTTTAACTATACTACGAACAGTGATTCTTAATTACTATAAAAAATGAACTTTATAAAGGTAAACATAAACTTATTACACAAAATGATTTTCTTAGACCCCCAACAAAAATATTTCTAATTTACATATTAAATCTATAAAAAAAAAATGTAATGCGATACCCGATACAATTTCCAAGTAGCATCAAATTTTTATGAACTGAAACTCACTTTTGAAAACAATTATTTTTTCATATTATTTCTGAATAGAATATCTTAACAAACATTCACACAAAACAACTCTTATGTTTTAATATTTAACCCTACCTATATATTTTGAGATTTTTCGCAAGATAAAATATTAAAATATCATTAAGAATAACGTATAATCTATCTAATAACTATTTTTTTTTTTAATGTTTTGTAAAATCATCGTATTATTAGATCGCTACTTTATCCGATTAACATGCAAAATGAAAGGTATTATTATTATAAGTTCAAATGAAACTACAATATTTAAATAATATTTTATATATTGTGCACATATATCCCATTTAAAAGAACTCTTTTATATATTCATATATAATAAACAATTTTACATTTTCAATGTACAACGAAATATACACATAAAGTAAATAGACGATTTAAAATTGAAAATAGTAACAACAAAGAGAAAAATACATTACAAGATTTTAAGTTTGTTTTTAAGACAATTAACGTGCTATATATAATATGATATACAATATTACCATATCACAGAAAGATAGATTTATCAACGTTGGAAAAGTATTGTTTTTTCTTTTGTTTTTTTTTTTTTAATAAATACATTGATTGATATATTATACTAGATAACGAAGATAAGCATATGTTCGTGAGAATCACTGATTTGAATTAAATGAGTTTTGTTGTTTAGTTTTTTTTTTTTCATCTCTTTTTCAACTGTTCAAATGAACAAGTTCTATAATTATTTCAATGACTTGATTTAAATCGCAGTATTTATAAACATATTTCTATAAATATATAAGCAAATAATTGTATAAATTAAGGCACGAAAAATTGAGTTAATACGATTGAGAAGTAAATTAATTCTTCGTATCGTCTAAATTATGTTTTTGTCAGTGCTGCAGGAGTCAAATAATTTTTAGGAACGTAACCGGTCTGACCATGACGATCTTCAACGAGCCACCATTCGTCGTTTCCTTTTTCATCATGTGGTCTAACGAGTCTAAGAGCTTTACCTTTTGTCACTGGCAATGTACCAGGTATACCGCCGGCGAAATCATACATAGTATAATAAAACTGAAATATAAAACATTTCAATAAATTTTCTCTTACTTGTAATACTGAAAATTCATTTTTAATATAACTTACTTCATAAGTAAGATTCTGATACTGTTGCGTTTTTGAAATTTCTTCGATGTTACTATAAGTCTGATTTGTATTTAATTCTTCATCCATATTTAGATAAAGTAACGATTGTGAGTTAGATTCGGAAGAATATTTTATTTCCTTTTCAGGTGAGGCCATCGATATTAGATCTGGCGTTGAATTGATATTGCTATAAGAATTAGATTCAAGGCTAGTTTGTTTCGTCGGTTGTTGTAGTTGTAAGGACTGCAGTTTTTGAGCAGGTAAAAAACCCTTGTCAGCACCGTTATCAATAAGCCATCTTGTAGTATCACCCATAGGATCTTGATTTTTGATAACAGCTACCAAAGATCCTTTTGCAGCACCCAAATCGAGAGATGTAGTTTTCATTACGTTTTCGGTTACAAAGTATAACTTATCTCTCGAATATTTCTTTCTTAATAAAATCCGTTCCTTTTCACTTTGCGAATACATCTCTCCTTTCTCTTCTTCTGTTCTTGAATTTGTACCGCCGAATGAGAAACGTGCAATTTGATTCCAAAGTAAATTATGATTTACTAGAAAAGATTCTAGGATATCTTTTAACGAGACTTGAGTTGTAGTCTATGGGAAGATAAATAAAATTTTATCTTTTATTTTTAACAACAAATGAAAAATATAAAAAAAAACAACAATCAACAAACGTACCTCGCAAAGCGTTAAATATCTTTTTGTAATTTTTCCGGTTAAAAGTTTACGAGCATTTGCAAAAGCGTCGATGCATTTAACCAATACGTTTACAGCCGCGTCGATTAATATCGGTAATTCTTCCAATAACTGTTGATTTAAGGCCTCGAAATTACTTCTTGCTGTTGCCAATTCGTCCTGTACCTAATCGATATCAATGATTCATTATTACAAAAATTGGTTAATTCAATAATAAGAGATAATAAAATATAATTACAATTTTTGACTCTTTATACTTTTCGCTTTTCGATATGGCAGCATCATAATCTAGTAATTTATCGTGTCTCTTTGTAATTAATACTGCAGGGCCTTCTAAGAAGGTTGTTAACAAATTCAATGGCACATTAACACGTATTTCCAATGTTGATTTCAAATCTTGCATAAATTGTGACCAAATTAACGAACGAGTGTCTCTAAATCGTTTAATTTCGAGATTTGGTGTTCCCTGATAATATTGATTTAAATAATCTGACATAAGTTCACCAGAAATGGCTTCGTTACTTAAATAAATAATACACATTTCAACATCTTTGGCAAATTGCCATATACATTTTTCTATAGATCTGAATTGTTTTTCGAGTTCTTCAAATACTGGATCCACTGCAATATTTGTCAAACCTAAACTAGCAGATAGTTTTGTACTTAAACGCATAGACATTTTTGCAACGGAATGCATATTTAATTTAGCCATTTTTCTAATTAATGTATTATCGTTATCTAAATACTTAGACACCAAATCTTTTCGACGTTTATATTCATTAATATAACAAGCCACGTCCGTCATAGCCTTCCATGCTTCTTTTACAGATTCTTTATCCGGATGGTCATCTTCAGTACACTACAAATATTTTATATTGATTTAAAAATGAAATTATAATAATATTTAAATAATTATAATCAAACTCACTTTTATTAATTCGAACAAAATCAGAGGATATTTCAAAATTCTTTGCACGGGTTTTATAAGAATGGAACTCATATCAAAACAAGCTATTTGATAACGTAATGTCTCAGTACCCTTGTTAAATACAGCCATAATTTCTTCATTATTTTCATACTAAAAAAAATATATAACTATAATTAATACAGAGAAAGATATATATAATTTATATAGTATAATATAAAAATAATTATATAAAATAAATGATATTACTTATTAACCTTTTTTAATAAAGCAAGCGCTGCTTCGTGATTTCCACAATACTTCACATATACAACCCGTAATTTATTAGCCATATTTATAAAGCACGTACCAACTTGTTGTAATTGTTCATCGCATCCTTTCATAGCTCTTAATATTTCGTATAGTAATTCTTCAGCAACTTGAATGATTTCTAATATATTTCCAAATAAAACGTCAACATCTATACCTTTTGCTTTAAGAAAATGAGGATTAGATAGATTAAAAGTATCATAAGTCAATCTCAGATCGCGAACATACTCTTTCTCTGTAAGAACTAATTCTGATATAACGTTTTGTCTTTGATCCGCTCTTTTCTCGGAAATGGCTATTGAATTTTCAGTTTCAGATGTATTATCAGTGGTTGCATCTTTATTACTATTCTGCAATGGTATACTACCAGGAGCTGGTACCGGTGGTGCTGGTCTATGAGGTTCCGAAAGTCTTTTTGGTTTATTTTCTTTGTCCGTTAATGAATTAGGCTTGTCGTCTCTTAGTACAACAAAATCTTCTAACAAATCCAATGTTGGATCAATATCAGGTTCTGATATAGGATTTGGACTTAAATATCCTCTTGGACAGAGACCAATTTCGCCATTAACATTTTTAACATTAATCCAATCTTCATTAGCTATACTGATAATTGTTACAATATCTCCTTCCGTGACATTTATATCCCCATCCATTTGTGCTTTAAATGTATATTCCACTTTGGCCATTGTACCTGGTTCTAACAAAGTATATTCCGTACTATTGTCTTCTCTATTAAGTACTACTTCGGTAGATTTCGTTTCTGGGCAATCTACTACAATGTTAACATAAGATACTGGAAATATTCCTTTATTATCATCAATAGAACCTTCCATCCATTCTGAATCAATATGTTTTATAAGATGCACTACTTCTCCTACTCCAAAATTTAACTCGTTTGGAAATTGAGCATTAAATGGATATAACGTTATGGCGTATGGTTTAATGTCGAACAAATTAGCATTATCGTCGCGATCATTATCCTCTGGTACTTTATCTTTGAATGTAGAAAATTGTGGAAATAAGTCATAATAATTCGGTGCAGAATCTTCTTCGTTATACGATTGTATTGAATGCCTGTTAGAAACATTATTCTCCACTGAATTAATATGGGATACAAATGATGGTGAAACATCTTCTTTTGAGCAGCACGCATCCATTTGATCACTGGTTTCATTATCACTTATATAAGAAATAAATCCTTCCGGAAAGATGCCATTTCTACCATCCTCTGAAATTCCTCGACACCAACCATCATCCAAAACTTCAATAATCGTAACTATTTCGCCTTCATTTAAATCTAATTCCTCTTGTAATTGGGCCTTCAATGTCGCTTTAACTCTTCCCTTTCTTTTAGTATATTTTTTATTACCCGTTTTCTAAAAATAAAAACTAACATCTACACATCTTATTTATCTTTTATAGGATTTTACTTAATATTGCAAATAAATGATGTATTTAATAGATTATTATAGAAGCGTACCTTTAACAAATTTGTATCTATCTGCCATGTGTGCGTAATAGGAAATATTCCATCTCTGGAATCTATTTTTCCAAAATACCATCCTGATCCAGCTTCACGTACTCCAACTATAAGTTCCCCTAATAAAACATATATGTTCTATTTATAAATATATATGCAATATATATATATGCATATATGCAATATAATAAATGATAATTTAATATTAATATTAAATATAGCTTAACATTGTTGATTTTTTCAATATATATACTGTAAAACTGTTACATTACCTGCTCCAAATGACAAATCTCCAGATTGTTCTCCAGCAAAGGCAGCTATTGATACGAATAAACTTTGAGTATCTAGTAACTGCGGAATCTCAACTTTATGTAAATAATTTAAAGGAAAGTTTCCTGTTTTATTATACGATTGTCCATAACACCAATGCTTATCGATGATCTTATGTATCTATTAAAAAAAAAAAACATAAATAGAGCATTAAAATAACCTGTTTTCTAAAACACATCAAGAAAAGGTTATTAGTTAAATCATATTTTTTAAAAAGATAAATACCAAAAAATGTTCCCCTTTGTAGAGACTTAATTCTCCATCGATGGTTGTAAAAAAATCATGTAGAACCCTAGTCAATGAACCACTTTCCATATTTTTTTATCAATATGCCTACTCTGTAAATTCCTCTGTATTTTTGTTAAAATGTAAAATCGCATGTAGAAACGTAACATTGACAGTTCTCATAAGTTTGATAAGATCTAACTCTCTTATTAACTTTTATATATGTGTATTTTATTTCAAAATTTATATTTGGAATAGGATTAATGATATTAAACGCAACAATTACAACCCTAATATCCAATGAAGACATTCGAAAATTCGATAAATTTTTATAAAACTTATATATATTTATAATTCGTATCTCAAAAGAAACGATTACATTTCGTGCGTAGTACAAATGTATGCGTCTTAATCAATAAATTCCATCCTAGAAAATAATAGATAACAAAAGTAAAATACTTAACAAACAATAGAAGAAAAACAAAATTAATTGGTTAATGGATAACATAGATTTGTTTTTAATAGTATAACCACGGAGCCTAGTGGCAAAAGATCTGTCCCGTCATTTTCGAACATTTGTAATACATTGCGATCGCCCTCCTGCTATCTAGGCTCCGTGAGTGAGATGCAACTAGCGTACCAGCGTTAGGGACCCTATAGGAGGGACGCGCCATATACATTGCTGAGGGATAGGAATTCGTGTAGTCACGTAATTGCCCGCGAATGATTCAAACGATAAGTTATAGGTTAGGTTTGTACATTTTTACATTTCTAATCATTGCAATCGCCCTCCTGTTATTTAGGCTCCGTGATAACGATTAATATAAAATACGTAATCAAAGAAAAATTCTAGTGAGATTACTACTGCATGATTCAACAACCAATTATCTCCGTTATTGTAAAAATATTATTTTACTTATCTACTTGATTATTTTATTATTTTATTAAAAAACGATACGTTAAATGACAATAACATTTGTTCGTATTACTAAATGAATTAATCCAAAATATCTTTAATAAAAATATATTTATAATTATTATAATATAAGTACAAATACGCATTAACTAAGTACGTCAGCCATTTTGGTAGCAAAGTCTAGGGAATATTTTTAAAAGAATTTACATTTGAAATATTTCTTTTAAAATTTCAAATATATATTTGACTTAAAATAAAAATTATTCAATTTAAAATAAAAATGAATTAAATCATAAGTGTGGTTAATTAAAACAATTAATAATTTAACACCACGTGTCTTGGTTCATTACTAAAAATAGTAACTAAAACCTTAATGTGGTGGAAAGTATAAGTTCTGATAAAATAACAACGCGCATCCGCCACACAATATTATATTTGGGTGTATAATATAAATTTAATTTCTTTTTAATTTATTTATTATTATTCTTGTCCTCTTTGATTGACATTTTAGTTTTTTTATTTATTATTTATTGCTTATTCTAAAAAAAAATATCTTGCAAACTAAATGTTCTCTTTTAAACAAGCTGTCTTTGTTATAGATGTCACTACAGTACCGTTATTTTGTTTCAGGTATTTCTAACCTCTACGATCCATTTTATCTTGGTTATTCGTTGTAACTGGCCGGTTTTATGTTTGATGAGTTTGATATTGTACAAATTATCGCGATAAGCATATATCGTATAGGTACATATGTATACATATGTATAACCAAAAAATACAAGGAATGTGGAAATGAAACTTATCGATAGATTATTTAATATTAATACGATTAATATTTTGTAACACATTTAATTTAATTTGAAGTGATCATATATCTATTAATTGTGTTTGAAAAGTGAATTAATTTGTTAATATTAAGGAATCAAAAAGGGGTCTTACAATGTCTGGCTCCATAGAAATTCCACTTCGTGATACAGATGAGGTAAGCATTGGATTATTTTTTAAACATTATAGTAATATTTTATATTTTTCATTTTCGTTTATGTCTTTTCTTCCATGACTTATTCAATTCGTCTAAAAAAAATCATGACTACTTAAGGTACCTAAATTTTGTCATATTTTTTCAATTGAAGTAATGAAAACTTATTTGGAAAAATTGCAATGTAATCAACTTGTGTTTTTTATGTTTCTATATCTACTTATAAAATATGTTAATATGAATGTTAATATATTAATTGTTGAGTCCTACTAAAAGACGAATTAACTAACCTATATTTAATAAACTATCAATTTCTATCTTTATATTTCTCTATTTTGTTTTTCTTTTTTATTACTTTAAGAATATTTAAAAACTTTGCATATTTTATCTTCTTTACTTGATTAAATTATACATTAAACTTGAAATTATGTAAGTTTTGTATTAATATAAATTTAGACTTTTTATATGATATTAATGTACGTATATATTTTTATAGGTGATAGAACTTTGTTTGGATCAATTACCTGACGGCGATGAAGTTCTTGGTATTTTACGTCAAGAGCATGCTCACCTCCACGTATGGGTCAATTTGGCCGTATGTATCTTATGTTAAAACATTTGAAATCTATTCAAATAAAATTTAGCATAAATGTACTATTTAATATTTACTTATTTTCTTGTTGAAATAGCTGGAATATTATAAGCAACAAAAGATCGAAGACTTTATTAAAATACTTGAATCTTCGCGAATTGATGCAAATATTGATTATCGTGATTTTGAAAAAGATCAAATGCGAGCATTGGACATGTTGGCAGCGTATTATGTACAGGAAGCGAATAAAGAAAAAAATAAAGACAAGAAAAGAGATCTTTTTACTAAAGCAACATTATTGTATACAACTGCTGATAAAATAATCATGTATGATCAGGTATGTGTAATTTATTTAGTTGTACGTACAGTATACTTTTTATTTATTAATAATACTAATTACTCGTGAATTTGTTTTTTAATTTTTTGTTTTGTTTAAAGAATCACCTCCTTGGTAGAGCTTATTTCTGCCTTTTGGAAGGGGATAAAATGGAACAAGCAGATGCACAGTTTAATTTTGTGTTGAATCAATCGCCTAATAATATTCCCTCTTTACTCGGTAAAGCTTGTATCGCTTTCAATAAAAAAGACTATAGAGGTGCACTTGCGTTTTACAAGAAAGCTCTAAGAACTAATCCTAATTGTCCAGCTGCTGTAAGATTAGGAATGGGACATTGTTTTATGAAATTAAATAATCAAGAAAAAGCGCGATTAGCCTTTGAAAGAGCTTTACAGTTAGATGGACAGTGTGTTGGAGCATTAGTTGGACTTTCTGTTTTAAAATTAAATCAACAACAACCTGACAATATCCGGGCTGGTGTACAAATGTTATCTAAAGCTTATACAATTGATTCAACAAATCCTATGGTGTTGAATCATTTAGCTAATCACTTCTTCTTTAAAAAGGATTATAATAAAGTACAACATTTGGCATTGCATGCGTTTCACAATACAGAAAATGAAGCAATGCGGGCGGAAAGTTGTTATCAATTAGCTAGGGCATTCCATGTACAAGTAAGTAATTAATTGTATACAAATTACTAATAATTAAGTATATACTTTCTATATATTTTATAATATCAATTGATAACACACACATTTCTTCTTGTAGGGGGATTATGATCAAGCCTTTCAATATTATTATCAAGCAACACAATTTGCTCCATCTGTTTTTGTGTTACCTCATTTTGGTTTGGGCCAAATGTACGTTTATCGGGGTGATGCAGAAAATGTAAGAAAATGATTATTGTTGTTATTATTATTATAAATTTTATTTTATAATGTAAATCTAAAATTTATTAAAGAAAAATTCAAATAATTTTTCTTCGTTTTCTAAAGGCTGCACAATGTTTCGAAAAAGTTTTGAAAGCTCAACCAGGAAATTATGAAACAATGAAGATTCTTGGGTCGCTTTATGCTAACTCAAGTTCTCAATCGAAACGTGATATCGCTAAAAATCATCTTAGAAAAGTAACGGAACAATTTCCAGATGACGTAGAAGCTTGGATTGAATTAGCTCAAATTTTAGAACAAAGTGATCTTAATGCAGCTTTAAATGCGTATGGAACAGCAACAAGGATTTTGAAAGAAAAAGTTCAGGCTGATATTCCTCCTGAAATATTAAATAATGTAGGTGCTTTACATTACAGGTATGTGTTAATTTATATTTCAAATTATTTTGTATTTAATATTAATGAAAGATAAGATAAATTTATGAATGTGTATATATTATATTTTATTTAGGTTAGGTAATTTGGAAGAAGCTAAAAGAAATTTAGAAGAATCTTTAGAACGTTCGAAAGATGATGCTTTGCACGATTCTGTCTATTACAATTCAATAGCAGTTACAACTACCTACAATTTGGCGCGTCTTAATGAAGCTCTCTGCATCTTTGATCGTGCAGAAAAATTATACAAAGATATTTTAAAAGAACATCCAAATTATGTAGATTGTTATTTAAGACTTGGATGTATGGCGAGAGATAAGGGACAGATATACGAAGCATCCGATTGGTTTAAAGATGCTTTGAGAATTAATAATGAACATCCAGATGCATGGTCACTTTTGGGTAATTTGCATTTGGCAAAAATGGAATGGGGTCCAGGGCAGAAGAAATTTGAAAGAATTCTTAAAAATCCTACTACAAGTACAGATGCCTATTCTTTGATAGCTTTAGGAAATATTTGGCTACAAACGCTTCATCAGAGTGGAAAAGACAAAGAAAGGGAAAAAAGACATCAGGATAGAGCATTAGCTATGTACAAACAGGTAATTAAAATTATTTATTCATAATATATTTATTGTATTTGATTATTTCTTTTTCTATATATTTTTATATGTTTACTTTTTGTAGGTGTTAAGAAATGATCCGAAAAATATTTGGGCAGCAAATGGAATCGGTGCAGTGCTAGCACATAAAGGTTGCGTGAATGAAGCTAGAGATATTTTTGCTCAAGTGAGAGAAGCAACAGCAGAATTTTGTGATGTATGGTTAAACATTGCTCACATTTATGTAGAGCAAAAGCAATACGTTAGTGCTATTCAAATGGTGAATATAATTCATATATTTATAACATAATATTCTTTAAATATGCAGAAATTATTAATAATAATATTATAATTTTTTTCATTTTGTTACAGTATGAAAATTGTTTACGTAAATTTTATAGGTATAATAACGTAGAAGTTCTACAGTACCTTGCTAGGGCATATCTTAGAGCTGGAAAACTTCAGGAAGCAAAATTAACGCTTTTAAAGGTATAATATTTATATAAATATATATTAAATACTAAAAGAGGAATTTATACAAATATTTGTATTATAGGCTCGCAGAGTATCTCCACAAGATACTGTTTTGTTATACAATATTGCATTAGTGTTACAACGTTTAGCAACACAAATTTTGAAGGATGAAAAGTCAACGCTTACTACTGTATTACAATCAGTACACGAATTGGGTCTTTCTCACAAATACTTCCAATATTTATTTGCTCATGGCGACAGAATGGAACAAATGGCAGAAACAGAAGCACGAAAGTGTCAAGATTTGTTATCTCAAGCGCAATACCACGTTGCTAGAGCAAGAAGACTAGATGAGGAAGAACAGACCCTTAGAAGGAAACAAGAAGAAGAAAGGTAAAATTTAAATGATTATAAAAATATTGCGAAATAAAAAACCAATTCTTAAACATTTTTTTTTTTTTTTCTTTTAGACAAGCTTTCAAAATGCGTCAAACGGAAGAACAAAGAAAATTGGAAGAAATGCGCCGTCAAAAAGAAGAAGAAATGTTACAAAAAAGACAAGAATACGTTGAAAAAACGAAAAATGTATTGGTATTTGGTGAGATGCCTTCGGAGAAGCCTGGTAAAAAAGGTAAAAGGGCAAGAACTGATCAATATATTAGTGACAGTGGAGGTTCTGGTAATGATGAAGGTAGAGAAGAAGCTCCAAGAGAAAAGAAACGTAAAAGAAAAGCTAGCGGTGAGACTAAAGAAAAGAAAGGAAAGGGTAAAGGAAAACGAAAAAGAGATATGGCAAGCGGCGACAGTGGTAAGAAAAATATAACTATATATATAGAAAATAAATATATTTTTATCATGTTACATGATATACACATATATTTGTAGGTTCAGATAGTGATCGTAGAAAACCAAAACGTAATAGAAAAATTGGTACAAAGAAGGATAAGCAATTCCGCAAATCTACAGCTGACACTCCAAAAGGAAAGATGCCTTTGTCGAAAGAAACAATATCAACCAGTGAATCTGACAGCGATAGTGGAGGTCTTAAAATTGCCAGCGGGTAAATATATTTCTTTTCTTTTTCCTAATTTATTATGAATTTATTTGAATTTGATCTATATGAAATTTAATATTTTTACAGTGCTGAAAGCGATAATGATAAAAGAACAACAAAATCCAGAAAAATCGTATCCGATTCAGAAAATTCACGTGCTTCACGTTCCAGATCACGTTCTAGATCGAAGTCAGGAAGTCGTGCAAGAAGTAGTTCACGTTCGCGTTCACGTTCACGTTCACGTTCACGTTCACGTTCACGCTCACGTTCGCATTCACCATCTCGATCACGATCACGATCACAGTCAGGATCACGTTCACCTTCACGATCACAATCTAGATCTAAATCGCGATCGCCATCTAGATCTAAATCACGATCTCATTCTAGATCTAAGTCAAGGTCTAAATCAAGATCTAAATCACGATCTGTTTCTAGGTCTAAATCGAGATCTAAATCGCGATCTGTTTCTAGGTCTAAATCACGATCTAAATCACGATCTAAATCACGATCTGCTTCTAGATCTAAATCGAGATCTAAATCAAAATCGCCTTCAAGATCGAAATCACGATCTCCCTCTAGATCTAAATCACGATCTAAATCTCATTCAAAATCACGATCCAAATCACGATCCAAATCACGATCCAAATCACGTTCACGATCGCATTCAGTATCGCGATCTAGATCTCGATCTCTCTCAAAATCCAAATCTGGATCACAAAGTGAAAGTGAGAAAGAAAATCAAGGCAGTCAAAGAATTGCATCTGGCTCAGAAGGTTCTCGTGCATCGTCACGCGCAGCATCACGATCAAAATCACGATCACGCTCGGTTTCTCGATCACCGACGCATTCACGTTCTGCCTCGCGATCCTTATCTCGATCAAGATCAAGATCGAGAAGTATTTCACAATCAGGAAGTCCCGATAAATAGATATATATATATATATATTTTCCATACAAAAATCAATTTAAAAAAATTTATAATAATCCAGTTTTTTTATTAACTAAAGTATTTTATTTTCACGTGTTTTACAAATATTATTAAAGATTGACAAAGTAATGAATATGAAAAAATTAACCGTTTTTTCTCAAATTTTTTAAAGTAGGAAATTTCATTTGTTAGGTATAATAATTGTGCCAAAAAGAAAAAGATATTAAAAATAGATTTTTTCCAATAGCGATAGAAATTTATTAGTTGTACCTTATTTCAATTTCATTTATTTGTTATATACTTTTAGTTATTCTCATTTGCTACTTTATTAAAAGCATTCGTTTAGTAACATATTTTTAATATGAGTAATGAAGATATGATTCATATAGATATAATTGATATTAGAAACTAAAAATGAACGACAGGTCACATACCATAAACTATGCATTTTATTGACTGTATTAATTGCCCATATATAATAATATGATCTTAATATTTTATTGTATCAAATATGTATATTATTTGAAGTTGGGTATAAAATGGATTTATGAAATATCTGTAATTAGAAAATAAATAATTAAAAAATATTACTAATCATGTATTAGGGATGTATGGTTATCTGGAATATATGTAATAGTTAAATTACATTTTAATGTTAATTATAATATAACTTCATACTATTGAGTTTAATTATATATTTACTGACTTATTTAAATTTATTTACATAAGTTTCATTTTGCAGAAAAAATACAAACTAATAGTAGCAATTTATAACTATACAAAAAAAAATCCCCCAAAAAATTAATTATTAAAATGTGTGTATGTGTGTGTGAAAACTATTATTATTACCTATGACACATAGAAAAAAAATGCACAAATTTAACATAACACTTTTAGACTTCATGTCAATCCTTTAAATTAAAGTATTGGGATATTTTGTTAATGTGTGTATATATATATACGGTACAAGTGTAAATAGTGAATTCAACAAAAAAAGAAAAGAAAAAACTTAACTTTTGTAATATATAACTACCTATGTACTATATTTTAAATTATGTAATTAATATAAATCTTTAAATTTATAGAAACAATTGAACTGATATTTGTATTTTTTTAAAAATCGTTAGAATTATTTCTCTTACATACTTAGAAATGATTAAAAGAACCTAATAACAATGAGTATATCACAAAAAGATAGATATAAAGTTTATATCGATGTATTATTTCTGCTCGTATTTTATATATCTATTCGTACATTAGCAGATGTACTAACTCAGATTCTGTGTATCCAAAATTTCTTAGCTCAAATTATCAGTACACTTTTTTAGTTAATAAAATACATTAAGTTAAAGTTTTGTAGCTAAATATTGAGATACTGTTGCTCTCTTTTGCAGACAGTTTTTTTATTCTTTTTTTTTTTTTTTTTTTTTTTTTTTTAATATAATTTTAATTACAATTCTCAGTTCATGTCTCTCACTCTTCAGCCTTTTTTTTGTTATTGACAATGTATCACATAAAAAACTATAATTTAATTATCTAATTTATGTGACAAATGTCAATAGATAATTAAAATAATCTAATCTCTTATTCATTTTTATAGTTCAAATTACAGAATCGAGCCTCTCCAAATGATTATTACAATTGTAAGCATCAAAGTTACATTTATATTCATTTTCTATATCACTCTTAATGTTAAAGGCATTTACATACTACCATTGCTCAGTGGCTTGTACACTCATAATTTAAAAATTCATATATCATTGCTTGTGCCTCTGTTATGTTTTAAATTTGATTACGACACAGATATCTTTCTCTTTAATTTTATATACTGCGCTTATAAACATTAAAATATTAAAAACATATATGCAATATACGAAAATAATTTCAACATTAAATTATTAACAAATATGAATTGTTTTACTCTCTACAAATTTCGTTTCTAACTAATCTCAATAAAGTTAAAACATAACATATTGTATTCTTATTTCGAATTTGTTTGTTTGTTTTGAAACCACTTCACAAAATAGTATCATGTATAATTAAAACAATCGTTAATATAATATTATAAATGTTAATTATATAGATATTGCGAATCGTTGCTACATTCGTGATATATTATAAATATTTTTATACACATCCCTTATACACTGTCTTAAGAAAAATGTTTACTTTCAATAATATTTTACTAACAGGGGGAAAAGAATAGAAGAATTTATATTACGAAAAGAAAGTATTCTTGTACGTAGATAAATATAAAACCTTAATTATTAACACATGTAACTTTAAACTTAATTAATTGCTCAACTGCATTACCATCCATGTCTTTGCTTTTCTTCATTATAATAATTATTTCACAATTAAATAATGACTTAAATGGTTTTTTTTTTTTTTTTTAGTAAATAATTAAATACTATTATATATTGTTCGTTATTAATAAAATAATTTTACTTCCTAAAATTAGAAGAAAATAAAATGTTAAACTTCTTAATATAACATTATTAAGTTTAACATTTTAAGAGAATGCTCTATTTATTTTTTAATATACATTTATCTCATTCGCGTTTAACTTAGTAATTTTTACATCCCCATTTCTTTCTCATTTTCTTCTTGTAATAATTCGTTTTTTTTTCAACTGACTTAATTATAAATGTTTATCGTATTTTTTCATTATGCAACGATCTTTTATATACAATTTTAAAAAATGTGGCATACATGTTTAAAATTTTGTTTTTATATAGTACAACATGATACAAACGAAATTGAATTTAATAATTATGTGAGAAACGGCACAGACAGTAACACACGTAGCAACTTTGACTATATGAAATAATTTTATTAACATATTATAAAAACCAGGTTCTAAATGCGACCAGAGGGACATTACGGTACAAGTACTGTGTACAGAGAAAATACTAGTGAGAGTCTTAAATAAATATCAAAACACGTATGTAGCAATGACAGTGTGAAGTCATCTTTTTTTTGCGTGCATAGTTGCTGCTGTATTGATGTCCTAGATCGACAGATCATGCCAGATAGCTATATGTGTCCTTTTGACCCTCTGTACGCTCCAGATATTCTTTTTCAATTAAAATATCTATACATTTCTGAAAAAAAATTAGTAATATTTCTTTGTTTCAATTATTCATCATTTATACGTTTTTGCTTTCTGCAGAACTCTAACAAAAATTAGAAATATCAATAATTTACAGCAGCAATTGTAATTTTTTTGTTTCCCAATATTTAAACATGTTTTTTAGTTCAACAAAATATTGCAGATAATTATTAATAATAAATAATATGAACGAATATATTGTAAATATCTTTAAAAGTTCATTTATCTCTTTCTTTTTCGAACCAACAAGATATGTAATATTCTTTTATCTATCATATACAAATAAATAAAAAAATTAAACATGTCCCATAATGTATTATAAGAAAATGAAATACTCACTTTAATAACGTGTACTCTCGGCTTGAACCTGGAACTCAATTGATTTAAAACTTCTGCTACTAATTGTTGATGTTTCAGTACTTTTCTCATTTTCATAATTCTAACAATTGCTGCTTGTATTAAAAGTTTTCTATCTTCTTCTATGTGTTTGTGTGTTGTTTCTTGTTCGACTTTTAATTCCGTTTTCATTGGTATGTTAATATTTACCCTTAATTTTTTACTAAAATAACAAAAAAACATATACATTACAAATATTATAAAAAAACAAACGATCTAAATGATTATTACATATATATATAAAAGAATAAAAGAAAGGCTACATACTTTTTATAGCCAGAAAAAAGTTCTACACCTGACACAGGTGTTAAATCACTTTCGTCATCATTAATTGCTGTTAATAGCTTAGCTTTTAAAAGTATTTGTACAACCTATTAAACATTAAAAATAACAATGGTTATATGTTATATTATCTTTTTAAACTTTATTATATTACCTGAAGTAAAAAATCCATTTTTATTTGAGTAGCATCGTGTAATTGTTGTATTGTCCATATGGTTGAACCATTATATTGCAATAAAACTGCCATTTGAAAAGTCGATGCTTGTAATGTATACCTACGAAATATTCAAATTCAAATCAAATAAATTATGATAATATAATATATTAACTTCTTTCATATTTTCAAAATTATTAATAATAAAAAATAAAATTAATATTTGTATTTTAAATAATTATATATTATAATTACCTATTTTTAAAACAATTTGTAAGCAATTCTCCTTTAGACATATTATATAACCAATTTAACTTTCTTCCACTATGTTGTGAACTATAGAAAGTTGTAAACCTATGTACAGATCTTTCTAGCTGTAAATATAAAATACATTATTTAGACCGTTTATTTTGAAAGTGGTGTAAGTCCATTTTTTTTTTTTTTTAAATGAGATATCACGTAAAATTTATACTTAATTTAATGTAAACATTTTGTGTGTGTGTGTGTGTGTGTGTGTGTGTGTGTGTGTGTGTGTGTGTGTGTGTGTGTGTGGATAACTAGTTAATATTTAATTTCTTTAAAAAATGCCCATCTTTTGTGCAATTTAACATTGGTCGGTAAAAGAAATTGAGTAATCATTGATATGCTAATCTTTAATTTTCTCGAAACAAGAGAAAGTGGACTTACACTACTTTCTAAATAAACGATCCATTTGCTATTATTATATTATTATTAAATAAAAATTAAATTTTGACAAAACATATTACAATTAAAATTTGATGTGTTAATCATACCTCTGTTGGTAAAGAAAAAGAAAAGGATTGTTGGAATGGCCATGAACCAGAAGATAAAACCTGTATACTGAAATCAATATCTAGTTCTTCTACAGAATTAGTTAGGTGTCGTCTGAACTGTTCATTTAAATCTTTGGACACTCCGATATCCTGCAAATAATAAAAATATAAAACAATGTTTGGATCGGAATTATATTGATGAACAATGTTATAAAATTCACTACTTGGAACATGCGCTGTAATTTTGAAGTATATTCAAAACCACAAGCTTGTTTTAACTTGGAGATCATAGAAGCCTCTGCGTCATCACTAGCAGACATATGTTGTACTAAACGTTTTGCCAACATTTTACTATAGAATTTCTGAAATACATCCTTGTCCTCGATATATTTAAATACTACCATCTATTAAAAAAATATAAACATGATAATAATATATAGATATTAATTTATACATACACTATATATATATATATATAATGTATAAAATTATGTTTGAATACTTACAACTTGATTTAAAGTATCTTCAAGTTCTGCTTCCTCTGGATTTTTACTGCTTTTTTTAAGCAATAAATCACAGTATTTTGCTAGTAATTCAGGTGACTTGCTACTACTATTTGCAGCTCTAGTTACAGAATTGCTATTGATAAAACGTCCACATGCTTTATCCAGCGCCGCTACAAAACCACTATCATTGTTAAATGCGACTAATACTAAAGCATTATATTTTTTATGAACTTCTAAAATAGTATTGACATATACTTTAGGGTCCTGTAAAAAAAATCATGAAATATAAAATATTGTTTTATAGAATTATTTAACATAATTTTACTATTTGATAAACTAAAAAAAAGTTCTTACATTAGCTGCAGAATCTCCGCATTTATCTATAGCAGCAAGCCCTTGACTAATTATATGGCTTTCTAAAAGATTTCGCAGCTCACCAAGTCCATTAGGTATTCTTGCCATTAATTGATACATTCGTCCTAAATCTGTATTTTTATCTGCATCCAAAAGATTTTGAAATTCAGAATGAAATATATCCAAGTGCTTTTCAATGAGTACTTTTTCACAAGTTTTTGCTAATCGATCGTTTGTTGTTTGATACAAATAAACTTGAACACGCTTTTGTTCTTCTAATAATCTTTGTTCTGCCTATAATAAAAAATATTTATAAATTAAAGATATATATCAATTAAAATATCTTTTTAAACAAGAGTGAAAGGGTTGTCCCTTTTATATAAAAATATATATTGCAATATTAAATACCTTTTTCATATATTCTGTAACAGGATTTTGTCTGAGGAATTCTGAACTTTCACGTGTATAAAATCGTTCTGTATCCTCAACAAAGAGATTTTCAAAATAGTCTCTATAAACAGCAATATTTGGTTTCTTAGCAGCAAGATCTTCGTCGTTCAAGCCCAATTCTACATAACAATTAATTACACCACTGACTAAACGAGTGTTTATAGTTTCTCCATTGCGTTCTCGTTCTATTAATTTCAACACCGCATTGGTAACCTTTCAAAAAAAAACATATAATTATAATTTTATCTATTTATAAAAAATATAATTATATATGCACTTATTTAAAATATAATAACATACTTGTCTATTTAATTGTTTAAATAAATTATCACGCCACGTAACCAAGGCCAATTGGTAAATTTCATAGATTCCTTTGCGTCCTTCTTCACATTCACGACGCACCCAATGACGGTTCAAATATGCACATACTCCATTTAACACTTTACTACTGAACTGATATTCTTCCCATTGTCTTGTATAGAATTGTAATACATCTTCATCCATTAAGTCAACCCCATGCTATATACCACCAACATCACACAACATTTTTTATAATAAAATAAGTAAACTTATATACAAATAGTCTGTAATATGCATAAATGAAGATTTAAAAAAAAAATAGCACACAACTCAAAATATTGTAAAATATCGTCTAGCGAAATACCTACCCTTAATAGGCTAATGAGATAAGACCTAAGAAAGTCACGTAAACGTTTGTATAATTCCAGACCCACTAACTGTGCACCACCTTGTGATATTTGACCTTTTTTAAGTTTAGTAGACATTCTAGTATGTTGCTGATGAACACTTGTACAATAATTATATACATGTCTATATTCAGAGATATAGTAAGGATATTACAGATACAACATTATCAATTAAGAATACTACTGTCTTTAGATAATATAATCATTTTATAGAAGGATACGTATAAAGTTCTATGTATCTTGGCTTGGACATACATTGTCTATTATATACTTGCTCTATACCCTCACGTAGATCTCCCCAAATTTGATCCAAGTCTATTTGTTTGAGGCCTGGGGGGACTCCTTGATGACTCCCTGCCCCTCCAACGCCTCTATGCCCCGACATCCTATTCTTATACGCTTGCCTAGTGAGCGTCAGTGTTACTACTTACTACTTACAATTTCTATAAAAAACAAAATTAAAAAACAAATTTAATAAAATCCAAAGCAACTATCAACATGCAACAAAGGATACTTAAAATAATCTTGATAATCACAGACTAAAGTGTTCGTACACAAATTTATAGCAAATTGCATTTAAACTCTTGACGTACACAAAAACACTTTATTGTAGTGATGAATTATCAAAATGAGAACAAGAAGAGCTTATTCGTTTAGTTAGTTATATGTACAATAATTTACAATTACACAGAAAGAAAAAGAGAAAGATAGACTTAAAAAAATACAAATTATTTGGAAAATATTAATTTATGAAAAAAATAAACAAAAGTTAGCCACACATACATACACATATATACTCTCTCTCTCTCTCTCTCTCTCTCACTCTCTCTCTCTCTCTACTAAATATAAAACGTAATGGATTAGAAATGTATTATTGGAGACTTCAATTCTCGATTGAAACATACTCCAAAATATACTTATAATCCTTATTAGGAATAGAAGGTCGCTATCGATATTCGAAGGTCACCGTATATTCCGTTAAATCAAGATTGAAATCATACATTAAGGATATGTATGTATATATTCAACAATTTATTGAAAATGTTATTGCTCACTGTTTATATGATAATTTCAAGACGAATAATAACACGCTTTATAAGTTATCGTTCTATTTACGAAATAAAAGACATCGAGGGAACTACTCGAGAATAATCTAAATTAAAGGATAATATTAAAAGGGATTGTTGGAAAAAAGAAAATTTTTTTTCTCTCTCTCCAATTCTCACACTCGTTCACTCCGTCTCTCTCACCCTCTCACTCTCTTACTCTTTGCAAATCCCCTTCACCTCTCTTATCCTTGTTTCTCTTTCTATAATTCTCTCTGTCTGTACCTCTTTCTTTCTTTCTCTTTCTCTCTCTCTCACACACACACAGAGACAAACACACACACATATTCTCTCTCTTTCTATACTTTATCCCCTCTTTCTATAACCGTCTCTTTCTTTACGTAATTTATTTCTTTTATTTTCTATCTCTCTCTAATTCTCACCAGTCAATGTTCACACCGCATAACAGTCAGAAACGACGAGGAAGTTTTATCGTGAAAATGCAGTGGCCAGGATAGGAAGTTGTCGTCAGGGTACTATAGCGACGTGGAGGACACCTGCCTCGCCTCCACTTGGATATTTTTGTTTTCCTTTTTTTCTTCTTTCCTTTCTTCTTCTTCTTATCTTTCCCTTTTATTTCCTTCTATATTTTCTTCACTTCTTAAATTTGTCTTTTTATCGCGTTTATTACATACGAAAACGTAAAGAAGAAGCGTGCTAAATCGTGAAATTGGATAAGTTCTTTTGTGCTTCCTGAAAAATCGCGTTCACTCGCGATCCTGCTGTTACTCTTCTGACAGGTTAGGTTCCACTGTTACCAATACGACAAATATATAACCTTTAGGCGCACGCGCACGTCGTATACACACACAAACCCGACAACGGTTACTTGCAACTCTGGTACCTTTTTATTTTTATGTCATAACAAAATAAAATAAATAAGATACGAGAAAATGGTAGTTCGTCGATTACAATAAAAATAATAATCGATTGGTAGAAAATTATGCGTTTAATTTAATCATCTCTTTTTATATATTTCATTGCGATTGAAAAATTCTTTGGTAATGATTATTGAACGATTTCTAATTTAATGTTATTAAAATGAATATTTTTAAATATTAAACTGATGTATATTAATTTTTCTAATCTTTTCGATTGTGTACACCAACGAGACATATCCTTTTTACCTTTATTAATATTTCATTTCATTTGCGTGTATTTATCACGTATGATTATTATAATTATTATATTTATATGTTATATTATTTATATCATACTAAAATAAATCAAACGGGTATATAAGAAAGGTTAAAGAACAAAAGAGACTGACACTGAAATTTGAAATTTTTGTTATGGCATCACTGATTTTCAAATTTGTACTCCCATTAAAAGAAAATATTTGTTTATAATTTAAACGAAGAAATTAAAATTAAAACATCTCTTAAACGAGTTAATGTCTAGAAAAAAATTCGATGTATCTGTATAAATTTTTATTATTTCCATTAATTTTGTTATCACTAACCCAACAAATGGGATAAAAATACAGTTAATATTTTTCAATGTTTTTTTTTTCTTCGCTGGTTTACAATCGATTACTGTAAATTTCTTACTGATCGATTACAAAATAATTTTCATAAATATAAAATTGCTATTTTATATTTATCACAAAATGAAATTACGTACAAAAAGTATCATTAATAAAATATCTAATTTCACGAATCAATTGTATTTTTTCGTAAATAAATTTTTAAGAATAAATTTGTATTCTGTGCTTTACAAAGATCAGTTTTCTTTTTCAAATATAATTTATTCAGTTCTTAACACAGAAAGATAGTTGACCTTCAAAACGATGATCAATTCTAGGCCATGACCATAATTTATAGGGACCTATTATTTTTATAATCTAATAATCAAGTTTGTTATTATACTATACCTATATGTATGAAATTTGCATAAGATGTTTAATAATAGTCTATCTCGTATAAAGAAATACTTTTAAGTTGAATTTTACTCTTTTTATATCCTTATATATTATAATACTTTTTATATAAAAATATAACAGTTATAAAAAATGGATTAATTGATTTTATTCAAATATCCATTAGTCCGTTATTTTTTGCCAAAATCATAAAAAACTCTTTCGTATATTTGATTTGATCATTTACATTTCAAATGAATCATTTGAGTATATTGTTAATACAATTCGTGTGTTTACAATAATAATTACTTTAAGTATTAATTTAAATACCAATTTGGTTCTTTTAAAGATAACTAAATAAAAAGAAAAGATTATCAATTATATTATTATACATCAGATTTATCTAGAGAAGAATGTTTATCAATAGATGCTTTAGGTTGATAGCTGTATAAAAATATTGAACAGATTACTAAAAATGCACCAAAAGTAAATTGAAATGTTAAATGAAAATCAAATAAATAAATAGAAGCTATGCATGAAATAATGATGGCCAAAGAGGTGGCAAATCCCTTGAGTATATTATCTGCATACTTTACAACCAAAGCAACAATGAGTCCACCGAGCGCTTGGAGTATTACTAAGTAATAAATGAACGAGTCGTAACCAAAAAAAAAACCTTGCCTTTTAATAATATTGCCGTCATTTATAAAGCAAGTAGCTAATCCAAAAGGTATAGATAATAAACTTAACTGAACATTTCTCATCCAAACAGAGATATCTGATCCCTTAAGAATTTTTTCAAAATATATACCTGCAAAACCTGACAAAAAACATGCGCTTAAGGCAGCTGTGAAACCAACTAAATGATTTTGTTCTATGCCTGATGGCAACATATTTGTTCCACTTTGTGCTAATTGTACTAATACTACTCCTATAACTAAAAGTATTAATGCACTCCATTGAGAACTTCTCAATGATCTTCGAAGAATTACAACGGCAAAAAAAGCTGTTGTAAGAATCTTGAGTTGATAAGTCACCTAAAAAGGCAATAAATTGTAAATGCATTTTCGTCAAAGGAAAATATATGATAAATGCATTGATAATAAAATATTTGTTTACCTGATATGTTGCTGCATCTAAATTTGATGCTGACACGTAAAGTAAATTATTTTGTATAATGTATAAAATTGATGGCACGCATACTTTCAATGTATCAAAAGGTTCTTTTACAATGGTTTGTTTCAAGGCAATATAAAATTTCAATAAATTGCCTTCCTCGATATAGACCAAAACCAAACATGTCAAGAGTTTTAAGAACTCTGACATAACAACAGCTATGAAAAAGGAATTTTATGAATATATATAATTCAACAAAAACATACATTTTTATGTCATTAATATGTCGATTTATGTTTATTTTATTTACCCGTAGATGACAAGAAGAGATCCCCAGATCTCGTCCGAGCATAACGCATACTAAGTCCAACCAATGCATTTTGAAGAGTCAATGTAACCAAACTGACATATTTTAATGTTTGCCCATTAACTAAAAACAAAGTTAGAAATGAATAAAACATTAAGTACGCATTTATGATACCAAAATATTATTAATTATATATTGTGATACTTACTTTGATGCAACTTGTTCATTATTATTAATAAAGGTGTAATCTTCGTAAATCATTGATTTTATCTTGTCTTCTCATATTTATCTAAACAAAACCAAAATATATAATATTAATAATTTAATTCGCATTTTACATTAATTATATAAATTTCATTAGACAAATTTAACAATATTTTGTTTTATCATACGAATTTAATAAAAAAAATTTATAAATAATTTATAACTAAACAAAAAATTGAGATTGTTTGTTGAATGAAATATAATGTTATTAGGAAATACAAGTAAATATCACTTAAAAAATTCTAACATATTATCTACTTTCATATAATAACATTTGATATTTCATTAGCATACATAGAAATGAATTACCTTACTATTTTCTAATAGATAAATGCGATTAAAATGAAATTCTTTTTGACATTTAATAGGTGATAAAAATTCGAACACACGTAGAGAGAAGATAGCCACGTTTGCATTCCGCTTTAGGCTGGTAACTTCGAAGCGTTGAAACGTTCTTTATAGAAATATATTATCATACAGTAGAATTCACATTCTAAGAACATGCGCCGCTATCAACGAACAGTTTAGCAACGTTTGCAAATTTTTCACCGATGTAATTTATACTTGAATGAGTATTTAATACAACGTATTATTTATTCATCATGTTATTTGTATAAACATGAATACACCAGTAATGTTTTTTTATTTGATCAACGTGCTATATTTGCGATAAGATAAATCATTTGATGGCATTTCAAACATTGCGCAATGGATATCATTTAAATGCTTGGTACTGTGTACACATGCTTAGGTACTATCCGTCTGCACGCAGTTGGCATTCACATGAAGCGAAAGCCCCCTGCAATTTCCATTGGCTGGTTACCCCACTTGTTTTCACATAATCCTATACTGCACGTTTAAAAAATTGTACCTAATCTGTGACCGCCAAACTCTGCCGCTTGATGGCAGCATTTAATAAGATTGTTTAGCGCAAAATTTTAAATACTATTTATAAAAAATTAGAAATATAACTGATTTAAATAATTCTTTTTAATTATTTATAAAACTAACAATTATTCAACACCGAGTTAAAAAAATATGATTAAGAATAAATTAAGAAGAATCTGAAGTGTTAATTCTTTTAAATGCTATGTAAATATGTTGTGTATATTTCGAATGTATTTTCGAGTGAGTGAATGTGTAAACCCATATAAAAAAATAATCGAACTGCATAAATACAATGATTAAATGTAATATTCTTTTTTACAAAGGGAAAGCAACTTTCTCTTCTCCAAAAGATGAAAAATTAAAATCATTAAAATCATCAAGATTTGTGCCAAACGATATTGGTACAATGCTGCCCCCTGAACTAAGCTTGACAAAAACAAATCCAATTTTTCCTTATGAAACGATGTTCACTATAATGCCGTCATTTCAACAGTCGTATCATACTAACTTCAATACAAAAAACATTCCTATCGTAAGAAAAAAAGTTTCTAGCGAATAGAATTTTAATTAAGCAATGAAAGTACTGTTGGTAACTTAATATCTATATATATATATGTATTATATGGAATATCTGCGACGTTTTGTATAGAACGTATGGAAATATTAGGAAATTGTTTAATGAGTGATTTAATCGAGTTTTCTTAGAGCTGATCTTTTATTATTAATTTACATTATTTATATTTATACATAAATCTTTTTAAAAAGGTTATTAAAATTATACATTCATCATATATGAAGTGTTTATTATTATTGATAATGGTTATAACGATAATAATATTAATAAAAATTTGAATTGATAATACGTTTGCAGGACTTTTTAATAGATCATATATCAGCGATACGGTATTTATTAACTTCTCTCTCTCTCTCTCTCTATATATATATATATATATATATATATACTATATGTGTATATATATTTGCATACAAAAATATATTTATCGACGTTTTGATTTTACTCAATATGTCTACACGTTATATGAAAAAAGTTTTTGGTGGAGATGAAATTGTTGATGGAAATAAAGAAAACGTTAGTGATGTGGAAAATTCAGTAAATGACAATTTCAAATCAAAGGCATTCAACGTTTTCGATGTGGTATTATAGTGAATTTTATTACTTTAATACTTTTTAATTTTCGTGTACTTAGTATATTATACTTTAAACTTATAAGCATACATTTAAATCTATAGAAATATTATTCTTATAGTTAAATGATAACTCATCAAGCGAAAGTGAAACCATAAATGAGAAAAATGATGAAACCAATTCAGATATTATTAAAGGTAAAAAGAAAAAGAAAAAGCGTAGGAAACCAGAAATTGGTAAAATGCAACAACAAACACGTAAACCTGAAAGCGAAGAAGACATCGATGAAATAGAAAGCTTAGTAAGAGAAGTAAATCAATTACTAGGGGAGCCATCACCAGGTTCTAGTAAGGAAAATTCTGAAAAACCCCAATGGATTGTAGGAAAATCTAAAGAAAGTATTTTGAGTGTTCAACATAAGCATTTAAATCCATTTAATGAACTTAAGAGAATTTTTGGAAGTAAAACTATACAAGCGGAACAAAGGTATCTTGACAAAGTATATATATATTATATGTATGTATATTAATTATTATATTTGATAAATTAAATTAATGATTAATCGAAATATTAGCAAACGAAGAAATAGAGGACGTACAGGTCATTTGAAAAAGACTTGGTTGGTGTCTCCAAGAGAGAATTGGCCACCGATTGGAAAATCTGGATTATCGATGTCTATAGACTCTACAATGAAATCTGATAATGCTCTATATTTTGTTTATGAACATGATTCTTCATATAAACAAATACAGCTTAAATTCTTAGAAGCTGTTGAAAGTTCTAATCCTGAAAGTCTCATAGTAAGTTATATAATAAATTTGTATTATATTTTTGTTAGATTTATATATATATATATATGTGTATTTATCTTTATTCGTTTTAGAATGTAATAAATACTCATACTTATCACGTTGATACATTACTGCAATTAGCAGAATTATGTAAATTAAGTGAGGATTTACCAATGGCCGTAGAATTTACAGAAAGAGCATTATATAGTTTGGAGTGTGCGTTTCATCCATTATTTAATGTGGTAACAGCACGTTGCAGGTTGGATTATAGGAAACAAATAAATCGTGCATTGTTTATAACAATATTTAAACATCTTATTTTTGTTGGTGGACGTGCTTGTTATAGGTAATAATATGAATCTTTTTATAATCATTATATATATATTATATTAAATATAAAGAATATAAGAGAGTGATTTTTTATTATTTCAGGACAAGTTTAGAATTTTGTAAATTACTGCTAGCACTTGATCCCCTACAAGATCCATTAGCTGTTGTTCTATTTATTGACTTTTACGCATTAAGAGCTAGAGAGTATGAATGGTTTGTCGATTTCTGCAATCTTTGGGATAGCACAAGGAATTTGACACAACTTCCAAATATAGCTTATAGTTTAGCTCTTTCACATTTTTGTTTAGGCCATCATGAGACCGCAAATGAATTATTACAAAATGCATTGATCATGTTTCCAGGGGTTCTCATGCCCTTATTAGAAAAATGCAGTGTACAAACCGACCCTAAGGTAAATAATAAGATATCTGTATAAGAGAAATAACAATTAACAAATATACACGTAGAAAAGTATTTATAAATATAAATCTTTTAGGTGTCTGCTCATTATTTTTTTAATAGCAAAGCTAAAAATACGACTACTTTAGCATTAGAAAAATTACAAAATTTGTACATAGTGCGTAGTTATCATTTGTGGAAAGAAGCTGATGTTTTGCCATGGTTGGAAAAATGTGTACATTTAGTGCTTGATCGGGTTGATTCTAAAGACAGTTATGTTAAGTATTGTGAAGTAAAGCGTGGCGAACGATATAAGGGAAATTTGCCAACGAATATTTTAAGACACATCATACTTGCTGATATAAAAGAGATTACCGTCAACGTTCAGGAGGTATATTTTTATTATAAAATAAGAAAGAATGTCTGAACAAGATAAAAACATTTTTTCTAATACTATGTAAACACTTGATATATAATATATATATTTATTTTTTTTATATATATGTATATATATAAGATTCAAGATGCAGCACCAGTGTTATTATATGATCCACTACCACCTGCTAACAGTGTAGATACCTATGGACGACCTACAACAGGTCAAAGAGGAAATCTGAGTAATTGGGGTCTATTCTCCCTTTTCTTTTCTTCATTGTTTGGAGATATAGATGTAGCTATTGCAGAAGTTGCAGAAGTCGCTGAAGGTCTTGCTGCCAATGGATTCAATTTGTTGTAAGTATTATCTGACAAAATGAATACTGATAAAAAAACAACGTAGAAAGAAATACTGACTATATAATTACTAATGGAATATCTAAAAATGTTTACAGCGATCAAAATGACGATCGAGCATAAGATAGCTCAAGAGACATTTGTACAAATGCCGGCAGAGTTTTCCATTACTCTTGTTATTATGATAACTCATCATGCCGTTGTAAAAAATATCTCTTTTTTAAAATTTACAATATTTAAAATATTTTAGTTAGCAATTGAAAAGGTATTGAACACTTATTTTACAGTCAATTGATAAAAGCATAATGAAATTTGAAAAAAAAATTATAAAGCATAATAACTAAATAATTTTATTTATATATACATATAAATATATATTATAGTATTTTTAACCGACTGATTGTTACGTCAGTAACAGTTATGATTGTAAGCTATAACAGAGTGCAATTGATTTAAATCTGTATCAATTTAATTTCATATCTTGTCCGATTCAATGGCAACAAATATTACGATTGAACTTGTAGAAAGTAGATATCTATTCCAATTCTTTCACATTGTTTATTTACTCTGTAGAGATCAATTCTTTATTTCAAATATAATTTAAGTCAAATGTATATTCTTATCTATGCACTTTCAAAAATTTAACGAAATTTTTTTTTAAATTTCTGCATAATAGAACCATTATGCGAAAGATATTGAATATGTTATAAATTGTCTAAAGTGATAAATAGGTAGTGATGTAATATAAACATTTAATGGAAGATATATCATTCTGTTAATCAAAACTTTTAATTCATCCGTACGCCTGTGTTCATTAGAAAAAAATTATTATTTTCCAACGCACTTATTTACAGTTGTATACAATTGTTCAGTAATATAATCTTATTGTTAATTTCTAGTCGTATCATAAATTTAATCATTTCCTAGAATTTTATTATTAAATGCAGGTTTTATTTGCTTATTTTAATGTGCTTCAATATCGGGCACGAGGGTGTATGCATTTATGTGCGTTCCCTAAATGCACTGGGCATTTATAGTTATTAATTGCACCATTAAAGAACCCACTTCTTTTCTTCAATCAAGAACTTTGAAAGCAGATAGTGGGGAGAGAAAAGGAATAAGATGGCTCAAATAACATCGTCAAATGTAAATATGACAACTGATGTTCATCATTGTTCCACAAGACCTAATTTTGTGAACTTCTTATTTTTTTATACCATACTATGGAATACTGGATTATAACGACAAATACCAGGCCCATTCTCCTGGTAATCTTTTTTGGTATGACATACTGTATAAAATTCTGGGTCACTAGCTAAAAGTGCACCTCCGTACCATACTGCACAACGTTGTTTATGATGTGATATTACATGCACGTCTATAGGTTTTGGCTGAAAAAAAAGTTATATATTTATATATTTATACATTAAAAAAATAATTTATTTTTGAATGAACTTACTGTGATATGGCTCCCACTTAATGTTTCGCTAAGTTTTAAACGAGCGTCAACAATTCTTTTAATATCACGTTGCAATCTTCTTCCAAAATCTTTAAACATGGTAGAACCTCCTGACAAAACAATGTTACTGTATAATGGCCTTCTGACATCTATTGGACAATTTTGTATAACATCATCGACAATTTCGCTAAGTGGTGTTGTAAAGTCAGGATTGGAAAACTAAAAATGATCATGAAAAATTAATTAACAGGTAATCAAATTTCTAGTCTCCTATTTAAATAATATTTTTTTTTTATATAAGTTATACCTCAGGATGGAAAAATATTTCTGGACCTAAAAATCTTTCATATCCGACATCTACGATGAAAGGCTGTTTTGTGATACTATTCATACCTTCGTATTTTTTGATTTTAGTAGGATCGCTATCGTATTTAGCAAATTCTTTAGAAATATCAGGACAAATGTAACAATATTTTTCTTTAATAGCTTTAGCTGTTTCTAATGATTGTTCAGGAGGTATTCCAATTTCACGTTCTCGTAAAAGACTTTGTATAAAATATGTTATATCGCGACCAGCAATAGGTATATGCTTTATACAACTACCTATAACAAAACCTTCTGCCTAAAAAAATATAATATATAACATTTATTATAAATATTCATAAAGTAAATGAAAGAGAACAAAATTTAAGTAAAGAATATACTTACCACTGGTATCACATGGGTAACTCCATCTCCACTGTCAACGACGACGCCTGTCAATGTTCTATCTTCAACATTTTTAGATGTCCAAGAAGCTGCCAAAGCCAATACTGCTTGCACAGCGATATATAAACCTGGTACATTAAATGATTCAAACATAATTTCTGCTGTATATTCTCTATTTTCAGGTGTATTAAGAGGTGGTTCGGTAAGTAAAAAATAATGATCTTCAGGCTCTGCCCTCAAATATTTGAATATGCATTGTTGAAGAAATTTTTCCATTAAATCCCAATCTTCAACCAGTCCATGTCTTACCGGATACTAAATATCAAAGCAAAAGAGAAAAAAAAGAACTATTGATAGTAGATAATAATTTTAATTTTCTATGTTTTATATTATACAAACCTTAATGGAATAACCAGTTGCTTCAAATGCTTCATCTCCAATGTATGTATCTAAGTCTTCAACGCCTTTTGTAATTCTTCTAGCATTATTATCACCGACTTTGGCTGTTTCTTTAATGGCTATTGCAGATGGTATAGTTAATTGGGGTTCTTTATTTCCAGCGAAGCCTAGTTTAGTGTATCTAAAAAAAAAATACATTCAATGACAATTTTTTATTTAATCCTGATTAATAAAATAATGTACAACAATGAAATATAACTTAAATTTTGAACTCATACAAAAAAAAAGAAATAAAAAGTGACAGGAAATAAAGATAATGTTTTGTCATGAAAAAAAAAAAAAAATAAAAGTACATTTAAATATAAATTTAAAAAAATTATTTATCTTCATATTCAAAGTTCTAATCTATGATCGTAGTTTTAACAAAGTGAATAATTATATTGGAAATGTAGATAATGTATCTACTTACCCTGTGCCCACATCGATAACACATGCAGGAAGACGTCCGTTCATCTTGATTGAAGTATTTTAAACTGCTCGCACTGACAAAATACTCCTCAGTGGGCTACAAATGTAACCGCAAAAACCACACCTCGCTCTCGATCTCACGATTCACGATAAAAGCATAGCTTGCACAGGCATGCGCTTATTCAGATTTCTGACAGCCGCATCGTCATGTTTATGCGTCGTTCATACGACCATTATTCTTGTTTTACATGAGAACCATGTTTAATAATATATTCAGTTAATTAATTTTGATAAACAAGAATAATAATTATTTTGATAAAATTAAATATTTTATCCAATAAAATGCATAAATAGTTTCATAACTATCTTTATGTGTCATTCATTCGATCAATATTCTTGCATTATATGAAAACCATGCTTAATAATATATTTAATTGATTAATTAGGATTAATTATGATAAATCATAAATTAGGATTAATTTTAAGCTAAAATTTTTTGTTAATAATATGCATTTTTTTTTTTTGAAAATTGCATTTGAATTATTAATATTTATAATTATAATTATTAAATAACATTGTGAATAAAATATTGTTTATAAATACAATATACTTTTGTTTAGATAAATCATTTGGAAAATAAATTACATGCGAATAAAATATAAAAATTAAATTTATTGTTCAAACTTGTTACGATTATGTTTTACAACGTTGGTATTCCTAATATATTTTTGATGGTACACTTTGACACGTTGATGATGTTTCAGTTGGACACAGATGGTTTGAAAAGTGAATGATTATAACCAGCCGGTAATTCTAATAGTAATATAATAATATAGTAGATATTATAAATGTAAAAAGTTAATTAAAGAAATGAATTATTGTTTCAATTTTTTTAGATATAAAATTATCCTAAAGCAAATGAACGAATTTTGAAAATAATACAAATTAATTTCCGACAATTAACAAGCAATTAAATATAAATATTTTCACAATGAAGCTGAAAAATGTAGGAAATAGATTAAAAGATGACACTTTAGATTTAAGTTTGTGTGACCTGGAAGAAGTGCCTGTGGAAGAAATTGTAAGTTCAATATTCCAACTAATTTGTATTTAACAATTCATATTTTTTTGTATCTTTGTAAATGTATAATTACAAGGTTTAATTATAATATAACTAATTGAGAATATTATTATTTCATTTAATTTGCAGGCAAATATTAGGAAAGTGACTTATTTAGACTTGTCTAATAATGTCTTAGTTGCATTGCCTGTAAGTCGCATTTTATTAATCATTAAATGATATTTCTGTGATATAAATTTTGTCATAATATTAAAAAAAGTGTTTCCTTTCCAGAATAATTTTATCATACTTAAACAAATATTGAAGTTAGACCTAAGTAAAAATATGTTAACCGAAATTCCGGAAAATTTTGGTGAAATGACTCAATTAAAATATTTAGATCTATATGCTAATCAGGTATTATTAAATTTCTTTTAGTAGTTAGAAAATAACTGCAAGTTATTATAGACCATTTGTACAGATAAGCCGTTTACCATTGAGCCTCAGTGAATTGAAGAATCTAAGGTGGTTGGATTTAAAGGAAAATCCATTAACCCCAGCTGTTGCAAGCATTGCTGGTCCATGCAGTAATGCTGAAGAATGTAAAAATTGTGCTCGTAATGTTGTGGAATATTTAAGTAATGTTAAACGTTCTGTAGAAGAGGAGAGATTGCGAAGACTTAATGCTAAGTCAAGTAATAAGCATCTTTTCTTTTCCCTTAATATTTAATTGATGTTTTATTTTTTAAAGTTATTGTTTCACTACATTACTGTCTTATAGAAAATGCTGATGCCAGTAAGGATAATGGTACTTCAAAAAAAGAATCCAAAAAGAAAAAAAAGAAAAAAAACGCAGACAAGGAAGTTGAAAAGAATTTGAATAAAAATAAATCTGAAATGGAATGTGAAGTATCTCAAAATCTAGAGGATAAGACAGATAATTTAAAAGAAATAATAAACGAAGAAAATAAAAAGAATTACGCTTCTGCGGGTAAGTATTTTCAATATTCTACAATAATAATTATTAATATCTAACTATTTGATTATGTTCGTATATTCACTTGAATGTTTTATCATTTATATTTAGCATTATGTAGGATACTTACTTCGCTATTTCTATGGATTGTCATATTCGGTATTGTCTTGGGTGCTTTGACAATAATTCTTCCCCTATATAATAAAGAATTATCATATAAAATAGTGGATTATATAGAAAAGCATACAGGTATATTTCTGAAAACTTATCAAAGGTATGGCACGGAATTATTACAAAATAAGAGTCAGATTCTAATGAAATGGATGAATCATGCTTACAAAACTATTAATGATATTTACAATAGTTACAATTTAACAAATATTATATAATATCATATCTCTATTAATAATACATTGTAGTCTTTGTTTGTAATATCGTTAACCTGCACATCAGATACATCTCACTATCAAGATATATTTTCCTATGAATTATATTTTCACGAAGATTTATTTGAATTCATGATTCATGATCGTTTATCTTAGATTGGTACATTAAATTGTTAATATATTTTTGATACATTATTACTTTCAAACTGTTGCGATGATTTATTTCACAATATAATGGGATATTCAGTAATATTGTAATTTATTTTTTTGTTTTGTTCATATTATATCGAATTATAAGTATTTTTACTGTTATAAATATAATATCTACATGGTATATCAAGATTATTTTTTAGAGATGTATGAACAGAAACAAAAATAAAATTTCTTATATAACATTAACATATTACAGTATGTTAAAATTATTTAACATCTCAAGAAGATGTATTTAATCCATAAGATTTATTCATTGATGTAGTTGGTGTTGTTTTCGGAGATACTTTACCAAGTGAGTTTTCCATTTTGTTAATTAATTTTTGAAACGTATTCATTCTAGAAAAATTCTGTTGTTCTTCGAAACAATCATCCGTAATCTCTTTGGATGTTCTTTTATTTGTTTCAGAACCGATAGAATCACTCGATCTATGTTTTCTACTAAATCTATTCCATGATCTTTTATCTGGACTAGTAGATGCTTTCGAACTATCTTGATCTTTATTCTCGTCTGATATTTCTTTTTGGCGTGCGGTGAAATTTGCCAATATAGCTACATCGTCATAAATTTGTTCTTCCATTTGAGATGGCGAAACTTGTTGCCATGTATCTTTTCTTGGTGATTTATAATGTTCACAATCATCGGATATTCTATTCTCAAGCTTCTGGATATTGGATTGTATTTGTTGCTGTTGGTAGAATGAATATATATATATATATTTTTATAATATATAATGAGATAAATCTATTGTCACACATATATGAGAACCACTCACAAGCCAAAGCAATTAATTCCACTTTTAGAATTTTAAACAAATTTTATTATTAAAATACTTGTTTTAATATTTAAATTTATATTCTTAATAGTATATTACATACCTAGGACGGTAAAGTAAGAAATGTCTCAGAGCACATGTAATTGTTTGTCCATTGTAAATGTTGTCCGAGACGAAGCCGAGATCAACAAACATGTGCTCTGAGACTTTCTTATTTACTGCTCATGGTGTGTATACTTTTTTCCTGCTCGACGTAGGCGGAAAGCGGCAACTTCGTTTTGCACAGCAGGAGAAAAGTTGACGCTTTCCGCCCGGAGGGAAGAAAAATAAATTTCTGTAATAATTTAACGAATAAGTGGTTCATATATACTTACATTTTTTTTCTCTTGACATCCGTTGACATCATCATAAAATTCTTCTTTAACGGGTATGATAATTGTTGGTGGTTTAACGTATACAGGTCTTGGTGCAGGGGGACAAATATATTCGGACATTTCATTGGACGCGGACATGTCTTTGATAATTAAATCAGACACATCATCGTACGTAGTCACTTCCTCTGCTTGAATAATTTGCGGAGGCGGCGCCAACGTTTCTTGTTTGGCGGTTATTATTTTATCTTTTTTCTGTGGCGATTCTTTTTTATTTCTCATTCTATTCAAAAAGGACTTTTTAGTTGGTGTTTTCTTTTGCACCTCATCATTCTTATTATCCTTCAATTTATTATCAGATGCTGCATTTGCTGGAGTCTATATAGTACAGAAAAAAAGAAGATATTTTATTAACTATTATTAGGTCAGTAAATACTAATATAAATAATTGGAAATATAAATGTACATAAATGTAATATAATCCAATGAATTTCAGATAAAAATCTTACCTCAACATTGCCATAGGATATCAAATTCGTTGTTTTTGGTGTTGATGATGGCTGTGATTCATTAGCATCGATAACATCTTTTTGAAGAGATTCACAATTATTTTTGTCCCTTATAACAGATGAGGTATTTATATCGTCGTAAGTTTCATCGAAAGGTATAATTTCGTTTGATATCGTATTAGATAAATCTTTATCTTTCGATTTAGATTTCATATTCGTTTGACGTTCTTTTTGTAAAATCGCTTGAACATCATCGTAAGCAGTAGTAGCGGCTTTTTTAGATTTTTCAATTGTTATTATTTCCTTTTGATTCTTCGATATGAAATTCTGATAAAATTTACCATGCTCGATATCTTCTATTTTATGATAAATACCATCTTCTTCTTCGTCCATCATTTCATAAGAGGAAATTATACCACTCGAAGGTAACAATGGAAGTCTTCGTGGTATACGAGCTGGTAATGGAGGAGGACTCGTATTCTCATTTATTGTTTGAACTTTACTTTCATTATCAGGTTCAACAGTCTTGTTCTCTTCAACGTTTAAGAAGGTCGTTTGTAATTTCGTCGAATTTAATGGACGGTCTTTTGCAATGACCTCTTCCGTTTTTCCAAATGTTACAGAGGAAGATGTGAAAGTTACGTCTTTCTCTGAATTTATTCCAAGATCGAAATTATTTATCTCGCAGGAGCCAACTTGACAAATTTTTGCGACCCATTGTTCCATATCTTTTGGTGTTCTTGCAATAAACTGTAACGTATACATCTATGTATGTATGTATGTATGTATGTATGTATAAATGAAAGAAGAAAAAATGAAAATAGAAAATAAAAAGAACAAGATATAATTGTAATCTTTCTTTTCTTACCTGTAACGTTTTATTACCAGGTTTGAAAATTTCAAATGCTGCCTCACTTCTTTTTTGATCACGTGGAATAATACTAGGTGCTGGTCGACTAGAATAACCACGAAGTCCTTGCACAACGTAAGGTTTATTATCTCCTTCGTTTCCATAGATCAATAAATGACTTCTTACTAATGCTAAAATAACACGTTAAGAATTTCTATTAAATATCTATAGTTAATTTCATAAACTTGAACAACTCTTATATAGTATAAATGTTTTAATTGCACTGTTTTGTTTAGTTTAATACGGAATGAATTAATCGAGTTATAGAAGTGTTAAAAAATATATATTTATAAGGTATAAATATACTTGCCGACCCAACTGATTCGATATTGTTCAAAAAGGAATAATTTTTTTCCTTCCTTGCGAAATAAAATACCACATTTCAAGGCTTCACTTTTAGCCTGTGATGCAGATAAACTGGAATAAATATTAACGAGCGCATTCACTTGAGATTCTTCAAGTTCTTTCTTTTTATCATTTTCGATCTTTGATAGGAATGTTTCGTAATAATCAGGATAAATTTGAGAGTTAGGACGTTTTTCACTTTGCGATATCGTCTCTTCCGCACCGACGTAATCTGGCATATCGGATACATTAATTTCTCCGGTATTTAAGGGTAATAAACCCTTCGAACTTGCATTCATACGGAGATAGGGCTCAGCTGATGAGGACGTTGACGATGTTGTCCCTTCGGTTTTTGTAAAAACGCTCAAGGCATTTTTAGAACGTAACAATAAATTTTTTCGTACGGTTTCCATCGTACTCGATAAATTCGCATTTTGAAGAAACTCGAGAAATTCTACGATCTCTGCGAATCAACGATATTTAATAGAAAAAGAAAAAAGGAAAAAACACATGAATAAAACATTCTAGCGATTAATTGAAAAGACCACCAAAAAAAAAAAAATAAATAAATAACAAATTCTTCTAGTCAATATTTGACGAAATAACAAATTTATTTATTTGTATTTTATTATATAAAAATTAATAGTTATATATTTATTACAATTAATAAAATATATAATATACGTGTTTTAATATTTATAATAGATAAAAAATTCTTTTGATTTTAATCAGCAAAATGAAAAGGAGATGTAATAAAATTTTGTTAGTTTAATTAACACGTACCATTAAGTATAACAGTGACTTCTGCGTCAAGGCCCATTTTTATTTTTATCTTTTGTTTCCTTGTTGAACGTGAAGTATTATTATTGTTATTAATTTCTAACAATGTTGATTTTTTTGCCCCAACAATTACACATCAAAATCCTATTCGATGAATAGGATCATTATGTCTATAACCATCGTCTTGGATCAATCAATCGAGCGCACTAATGTAAAGTAGTATAATGCCATCGTTTTAAATACTTTTTATAAGAATAGAAATGAACGAATTTTTGTCACAATGTCGGATAAATTTTTGTCCAAAAAAATAATATCGTACTACCGAATACATGTGTTTCTATTGTCTCTATTATGTTTAATTCTTGACAGGAAGTATGAAGAGATATCTCCGGATAAGACTTATCATGACGTATTTAGCCACGAAAAGGAAATATTCCTAATCGTTTATTATTTTTTATTATTTTTTTTTTCTTGTTTTTTTTTTCTCAAGAATATACGAAAATATTTTGTATCAAATATGACCAATTAAAATCTAATTTTCATTCATTATTTTGTGTATCTATCTATGTAAACATTACATACATTACGATAAAAAAAATATTCCTCATTTTTTCTCATCTTTTTTTTTTTTATTAATTAATTTTCTCGTGTCAAAAATGTCTAGAAAAAAATTCGTCATACAAAAAAATGGCTATTTTGAATTAAATTTTTATCTACAATTCATAATACATAATATATGTGATAAGAAAATATTTTCAATTAATATTTTTATCTATTTTTAAAATTAATTTAATTGTGTCAAAACAATTCGTGATAGAAAAAGGACAAAAACGTATACAAAATTTATATTCATAATTTTGATTAATTTATATTAAAATTACAGATAAAAGAGAGCGAAAAGAGAAAGAGAAAGAGAAAGAGAGAGAGAGAGAGAGAGAGAGAGAGAGAGAGATGATCACATCATTCTTATCGCCTATTGTTAGGTAAAAACACGATATTTAACGAAGGAGGATATAAAATTTTTGCGAAAAAAAATTTGATGACTTGCTCGAAACTCAAATGTCTGTATTTAACCTGTCAAGGATCATTCAGCATGCAATTATAATGCAAAAATATTTAGCATATTACGCGTAGTAAATATTTCACTTTATACGATAATTAATTAAATTTACTTTACTTTTTTTTTATATGTATATATAACGTAGAATAAAATAAAATGATATTTTTCATATTATTATTAAAAATTTTCCAACTAATTGAAATATCACATTAATTGTTGAAACTCGTCACAACACAAGAACGTCACAAGAATGTCATTATCGATGACGGATGAAATAATATAGACAGTATCCTAATATCACTTTCGAACGTTTAATACATTCTCAAACACACAGAACTAATTTTTGTAATACTTGTCACGAATACTTGATTTGCAGTCGTTACTGCCTCTCACTTCGAATGGAAAGAAACTCACATCGCGTGTCTCCTTTTGGCTTGGGTTTTACGTCTAACTAACGTAAGCATGTATACATATATCGTTGAAATTCGATGGGCGATGTCTACAAATGCGGGAGCTTAGACTCCCGCAAAGATTCTCTTTCTATCTCTCTATTTCTCCCTCTCTCTCTCTCTCTCTCTCTCTCTCTCTATCTTTATCACTCTTTTTTCTCTAATATTTTACACGCCTTAACTTTTCCTGTGATCTTCTTGTACGAGTCCTCCTTTAACGAGCTGACTCAGAACTTAGGCGCGTTCTTCTACTCTTTATGCCACAATCATTTTCAACGAGAATGACGAGTGACGAGAACGAAGACGACAATGTCGTTGCCACTGCCTTCGAGCTTCCTAACTTCAACTAACTTATTATGAAAGAGAGAGAGAGAGAGAGAGAAATAGAGAGACGCGTTAATTGATTCCAATTCTGATTAATTGCCGTAGTAAAAAGATGATATTTGTCTCTCAGTATTTTCAAATTAGACCTCAAATTTTTTTTCTTTTTATTATTATTATTATTATTTTTTTTTTATATCTTTAAAATCAAAGATTTACAAAAAAAAAAAAAAATCATAATTATGTACATATTTCAGTGATCATCGTTATTTTTTATTTGATGAGTACACCTCTTGATATATAAATTTCAAAGAACAAATTTTAATTCCTTATCTTAATATTAAAGGGTACGTAATAATATAGTTTGTATTTAAATAAAATATAAAAATATATTTTTTTTAATACTTTTTCTATTTTTGTTGAAAAAATGATCATTAATGAATTTCCCAAGGTGCTTTGCCTCTAAATTTTTCCAATGGTTTAGAATATACTTTGTTTCCAATTTCGGTTAATTCTGGCCATGGATCGGTTTTTGCTAATTCCGCCTCAGCGTCCACTTCCTTATAAATTGTTTTTCGTATTTCCTTGTAATAAGAATATTATATTAGAATATATTCAATTGATAAAAAAAAAAAAGAAATCAAAAATAAATGTTATACAATTTTAGTGTATTTATGTTAGAATATTTACGTCTACTTCTTGTTGGGTTTTAAGTCCGTTATCAACGAGAAGTTTGTTGAAAAGCAAGATAGGATCTTGTTCGATTTGTACGGATTTAATTTCATCTCTGGAACGATATCCAACACCAGAATCGCTCATGCTATGTCCATAATAACGATAAGTATCTACTTCTAAGATAATTGGACCATTACGAATTGCATAATCTCTCGCAAATATTATAGCTTCTCGAACGTCAATAACTTTCATTCCATCGACCTATTTAGACAATTAATTATCTTAACTTTGATCTTGATTCCTTTAGATCCCATCAGTATAATATTAATGTATAGGAGATCAATGGGTTGGATGATTACTTTTATACCAGGTATTAAGTCACCACGAGTATAGAACTTTGTATTAGCTGAATGACGATGGATCGATGTACCCATTGCATATTGATTATTTTCACAGATATAGACAGCAGGAAGATTCCATAATTTTGATATGTTCCATGCCTCAAATATTTGACCTTGACAGGCTGCACCATCACCGTATAACGAAATGGATACTCCGTCGATGCCGTTGTATTTATGGGCAAATGCGAGGCCTGTACCTATCGGTATCTTGTTTTATACATAAAATATGTTCGTTAGGATTTTCTTATAAAAAACTAAGAAATAATTAATAGTTATTGACTATGAAGTCTAATTACGTTTGACGAACTAATTGGAATAAATCTTTGAAATGCACTTCTCGAAAATAAATTAATTGAAAGGAATAGTTGTACAAAAAAATGTTTCAAATTGAGACAAATCAAAATATAATATTAAATAATAATAATATTTGTTTACTAGCCTATTATTCACCTGTCCACCGACGATCCCTTCACCCCCATAAAATTTAGGTGCATACATATGCATCGATCCACCTTTGCCTTTAGCAGTACCAGTTTTACGCCCCATTAATTCAGCGAGAACTGTACGAGCAGATGCACCAAAAACCACTGCGAAACCATGACAGCGATAACCCGTTATCAGAATATCGTTTTCTTTTAAAGCCATTTTGCAGCCAACTGCTACAGCTTCCTAAAAATATTTTTTATTGCATTAATTAGATATATTTTGAATCATATAATATCACAGAATCACACATCTCCAGAAAACATTTACGTGAATGAGATTTGGAAAAAAGAAATGAAATTTGATTGTTTCTCGGACTCACTTGACCTGCGTACAAATGACAAAATCCATTGATCAATCGTGATCTGTACATTTCAGCAGCTTTAGCTTCCATTCTTCGTATATAATTCATTGTTTTCAAAGCAAAAGTTGCATCTTCATCGTGCAAGGTTACCTTTTGCGGTGGTCCTTTCTCTAATCTATACAGATCATAAGTCTGTAAATGGGCAAGAGGATCTTCGTTAATTAAATGAATCAACTGTTATCGATGGGATACATCCATCGACGTTATCAATCCAAATCACAATGTCGAGATCTCAAGGAACACCCCTTGACCTATGTGTTAACTCGTAAGATGAAGTTTTTATTGAATTTATTATCTGATCAATGACGTAATTTTACCATTTCTACAGTCGCTTCTTTTGCCATGTCACGATTGAACAATAGGGTCATCCATGGTTTGTTTAGAAGTAAATGTATATTTTTAACACGATACATATTTATCTTTAATTAATTTATAATATTTTTAAAAATATATCTCAATACCGTTTTTAATAAAATTAAAATTTTCTTTCATTTGAAATGGTAGAAAATTAATTTATTTAACAAAAAAAATTAATAATAATTATAGTAATAATAAGAAGGAGAAGCAATGTGCAAATAATTATCCTCTGAAAACATTTATGGATATGTAGATATATCGAAAGAAATCGATTTTATAACGATACCGATAGTAATATATTTAAGATCTATGATTTAATTATAGATTATTTGACTGTCTTTGTCAAAGCTTTTGTCTTTCTTCTATTAAAAGTAAAAGATAAAGGATTGTGGATGGTATTACTGACGTTAGACCATATATGAACATATGAATAGATGGAATTTTACAGTTATCAATAGTTCTCCCTTCATGATGACTGTAATTATAATCAATACTAAGAGAATCGTTAATGAGTTAAGACTATTATCATATGCACTGTGATGAGTGGACTTTTTTAAATACTACGCTTTGTAGTGTATCACTACTGATATATCATTCCTTTGTTGTAATACCGAAAGCTATAATGCTAACGTATAGCTACATATATTCATTCATAAAAACTTTACGCAATAATTTAGAAAATTCAGTTTAAACGAAAAATTGATTAACATTTTTATTTCGAATTTAATTATAAGAAACTTACATTTTAGTAATAACTTAAGTAAAATAAACAGAAGAACCTAAGATAATTAATATTTAAGTTTATCAATAAATAAGTAAATGTATAGTACTCAACACGTTCGTAATTAATTTTTAAATACAAAATAATATAAATGATTAAATAAATGCTTTAACGAAGAATTTTTATCTCACATTAGCAAACTGAAACATTATTGATAACTAAACGATATAATATAGTATTTTACTTACGATAGGTCTACTTTTACACTTAAAAGGAAAATGATCAAAGAATTTTATTATTCATCATAGAAAAGTCTGTAAATGCAGGCAAGTATATAATTATCGACGTATCCCTTTCTAGCTATWAATGTTACTAAGAGAATCGTTAATGAAAATACTACTATCGAACTATTTGGAGCATAGTCAAGGAAAAGGGATTTCTATTTTTTAGTATATTTTTGACATTCTATGAAAGTGATGGATTTCTTTGACGGTCGTCACTATGCGATAAATAAAGCCATGCTATCCTTATTGGGCCAATGGCCTTATCAATCGACTAGAATTAAATACATCGGTTTGGTGATGTTATTTTTATTAGCTGGAACCCAAATAATAGCAAAGGTGTTAGTTTTTTCTTTCTTTTTTATATTATTGTCAAGAGAATATATAACGTAGATCGGAGAGATAGATTTAATTGAAAATAACTAACGTTATTTTTGATAAATACTTCAATTCAATTGGTTTTTTATACATCCTTGTATGCTTTACTCTAGATATGCGCTATCGTATCGTATGGAAATATAACTATGAAAGACGTGGCACCACTTTTTGCCGATTCTCAAGCAATGATCAGATTTCTTACTAATGCAATGCAAGGAAAAAAGGTATATAATATTTATGTTATTATCTTGTTAATAAAAGAATTTTTTAAACACATTTTTGTAACCTAATAAAATAATTGTGAGTAGATTTGTTAATATAATTTATTTAAACGTTTTAATTAAGTAGTGAACAGGAGGTGATTCTACACTAAAAATGCGTCCTTGACGAATTTTTTAACCTTATTTTTCTCCATTACAAAGCTTTATACAAATATTTTTTATTTCACACTTTTAATCTTCAATCATTTCTCATTTCAATCTAGTTTATCATGTAAAGTTAACCCTTCTCGCTTGTAACATCAGTTTTAGGAAATTCTACATATTCACAAATATAAATCACTATTATTTATTTATGATATTGAAATATATAAATTTACTTTATTTATCTAAATATGAAAATTATTAACTACAGATGAAAATACTTCTAAATCGTATGCAAACAGATTATTCTTTATTTACTAAAGATGGTGAAAAGGAAATAATGGTAGAGTATGCCAAAAATGGAAGAAAATTTACTATTGTGTACATAGGTAATTAATATTACTTTGAGATTATCCGTTTAAGAAAATTACTTTTTATAATGTTTACGCATATTGTATTTTTCCATAGGTTTTTTATTTATATCAATGCTACATTTTATGATTCCACCATTGAAATCTATTATTTTGAGTAGCATGAACGGAACGACAGAACGACCATTTATACATCACGTTGAATATTTTGTCGATCCACAAAAATATTAYTATTTTATAATCATTCATTCGTACATGATTATTTTTATTTGTGCTTTTACGATTGCCACGATGGACACTATGTTCGTGGTATTTGTGCAACACGCTTGTGGATTATTTAGAGCTCTAGGGTAGAATCCTTAAAATTCTATACGTAAAATCTGTATGATTATAAAATTATTATTAACTAAGACTAACATTATGCAATACCTTACTGCATAAAAATGTACAAAACATTTAGAAAATGAATAATAATTGTTGTAGGTATAAACTTTGTCATATAGTCGATGATGACGACTCGGAAATAAATTTAAATTCTTCGAAATTAAATGATAAGTATTATAAAAATATTTCAGAATGCGTTCGTAGACATCAAAAGGCAATAGAGTTTGTATTTTTATATATTTGTTCTATTATTATTATTTGTATAAGATTTAAGAAGCGGTAATGATATAATTATTTGATGTTATTAAGTTATTGATTTTTTTAATGAAGGTTTGCTGATTTATTGGAATCATATTACACGACATCATTTTTTCTTCAATCAGGACTTAGCATGATTGSAATGAGTGTTACTRGTYTCCAGGTATATTTAMARTAAAAATATTYTKCATCAATTAGTAATTTTCAATTATAAGCAACCACYCTAAAACATTTCTTATTCTAWAATATTTGTGATTATTGTTGTAATTTATATTAATTTTATTTGAATATAGGCCATTCTAAATGTCAAWGAAMCCAAACAGTTTTTTCAACAAATGTGTRTTTGTTATACGACATTAATTCKTATTTTATTTGMATGTGTRAATGGTCAACGACTTATCGATCATAGTTCTCAAATGCATGAGTATCTGTGAGTAGATCYGATTTTTYTCTTTTTTCAAATTCAATGTTTTTTAAAATCGTTTCGCATATTTACTTTATAATTTATTTTCATCGGTTACAGAATAAATTTCAAATGGTATCAAACATCTCTACAAACAAGAAAAGAAATTTATTTTATGTTAATTAGATCACGAGTACCTTGTATGCTAACTACCGCTAAAATGTTTAACTTATCAATGGAAACATTTAGTTCTGTAAGAATGATTATTCTTTGTAAATTTTATATAAAAAAAAAATTGTTTTTTTATAATTCTAACTAGATCTTTTTTGTTAAAGATCGTTAGTACATCGATCTCATACTTTACTGTATTGCGATCAATGCAGTAAAATTTGGAAAAATATAATAATACCTCTACACATATAAATTATATTTAATTAGTAAAAATATTTTCAAAAATTTATAGTATAATCTTCTTTGCATACCTCCAAAGTTTATTTTTATTTTCTATATTTATCAATATGTATACTTAATTAAGAGTTTTAATGGATCGACAATGAAATAAAAAAATTATAATAATANTTTACTTTATAATTTATTTTCATCGGTTACAGAATAAATTTCAAATGGTATCAAACATCTTTACCAACAAGAAAAGAAATTTATTTTATGTTAATTAGATCACGAGTACCTTGTATGCTAACTACCGCTAAAATGTTTAACATATCAATGGAAACATTTAGTTCTGTAAGAATGATTATTTTTTGTAAATTTTATTAAAAAAAAAAATTGTTCTTTCATAATTCTAACTTGATCTTTTTTGTTAAAGATCGTTAGTACATCGATCTCATACTTTACTGTATTGCGATCAATGCAGTAAAATTTGGAAAAATATAATAATACCCCTACATATATAAATTATATTTTATTAGTAAAAATATTTTCAAAAATTTATAGTATAATCTTCTTTCTATATTTCCAAAGTTTATTTTTATTTTCTATATTTATCAATATGTATACTTAATTAAGAGTTTTAATGGATCGACAATGAAATAAAAAAATTATAATAATATTTATTGTTAGTAAAAATTTTACAATTTTTGATAAATTAAARCCATATGATAGACATTTGTATAGCATTAGATTAAATTTGAAGAACTAATAATTATCTTGCATAAAGCAAATATGAACAAATAATAAGAATGACAAKCAATGTGTAAATAAWTATCCTTTGAAAACATTTATGCATATGTAGAYATAATGAAAGAAATCGATTTTATAACGATRCCGATAGTAATATACTTAAGATCTATGATTTAATTGTAGATTATTTGACTGTCTTTGTCAAAGCTTTTRTCTTTCTTCTATTGAARGTAAAAGATAAAGGATTGTGAATGGTATTACTGACGTTAGACCATATATGAACATATAAATGGATRTAATKTTACAGTTATCAATAGTTCTCCCTTACATGATGACTGTAATTATAATCAATACTAAGAGAATCGTTAATGAGTTAAGACTATTATCATATGCACTGTAAAGAGTGGACTTTTCTTAATACTATGCTTTRTAGTGTATCACTACTGATATATCATTCCTTTGTTGTAATAACGAAAGCTATAATKCTAACGTATAGCTACATATATTCATTCATAAAAACTTTACTCAATAATTTAGAAAATTCAGTTAAAACGAAAAATTGATTAACATTTTTATTTCG